CTGGTACACGGTTATGACTGGTTTTCTAACCGGCTTTCATTAATTAGTAACAAGGAGAAAAAATATTAGATGGTTATTAAGTTGGACGACATACGAGATATGCTCACTTGATGTAATTTTGCAATCAATCCACTCCAAGTATAAGGCGTCGGCAGTTGAGTCTCATATGCTCACGGGACAGTAATAACACACTTACTCCGAGAGACACCACCTGATTTCTACATAAATTTGTAGTTGACAAAGTCGGCAGCTATTTTTAAGTACAAAATAATTTAGAACGAGTACAAAATTAAAAAAAAAAGTTTCGACTCCACGAAAAATGTAAATAGCGTCAACTTTGGCGTAACAATACGCTTTAACTTTACCGAAAATACACAGTGGTACTTTAAATATAATATTTGGACTATTCCAAATCCAAGAACACAGCAAAAATATGATTATTACTATCAACAGCTTTGACGAAATTGTCACATATATTAACCATAACGGACTCATACCAATGTTGATGACGGAAACCAGACTGATTGGATACTAAAATGTCATTGTTATCGCAAAATGCACGCAGTTTCTCTTTTCCAATATTTTTTCATAAACCGGAACAGTATTTATCGGTCTAAATACGCAGTTGATGTATTCCACTCGTGCGGTAATACTCCCGTAGAAAGTGAAGTATTCATAATGTCCAAAAGGCGGTTACCTATTACACTGAAGACATCTCTCAATGTATATTTCAAATTTTGTTCTATGCTTTTCTGTTTTCAATTCATTTTTTCTTCTTTTCTTTTATTTATTTAAGTATTGTTGGCTTCAGGCACTAAAAGAAGAATCAATTAACCTACAATTTTCTGATTCTTTCGTCAATTTTTGTTCTGTGTAACTGTCTATTCGGATGATGCCTGCCTGTTGTAAGGCCGAAGTACCCAAGAATCGTAACCTAATAGGATTGCCTAATCCGCCAAATCTGTCCGCAACTGCAATGCGACAACTCTCGCTGGTCGTGACGTAGGTGAAGTCCTGTGTCGGCGCAATTACTATGTAAACGCATGGAAATAATCTGAAACTGACTCGAGTTTTGATGGACTTTTGAGTATTTTGAGTAGCTAATATAGCATTTTGTTTGGATATTCACTCGTTATTTTCATTTAATGTCAACATTAGATCGTTTTAGTACTTATTTAATAATTATTGGGAAGTAGCGTAGGGTAGGGTAAAAATGATACTATTGCAACCAATTTTGGCTTATATGTATTATCTCGAAATACATATATTAATTAAATATAGTTACACATAAATATATAAAACTAGCGAACACAACGATTTACTTGTAACACTTTGTGTTTTATGGCATTCTACCATTTTAAATAAACAAAAATCAAGAAATACTTATAAACTAGAAATCCCTATTTTTGGATATATTAAAGAACATATTAAAAAACAAAAAATATATTAGGCATACATAACAACTATTTATAGGTGGTAGGTAAATAATAATATGTATTTATATGTACCCTCGTATGTACATAATATAAAAAATACATATTACTACATATTCTTAAATCTTTATTTTACAATTTTACCATACTTTCTAATTTTTTTTCTGCGGGTATCATCTTGCGAAGATTTTCTTTTTAGACTAACGTTATATTTTGCTTTTACATTTCTGAAGTTCATACGAATTATCGTTCTCAGCTTACAAAAATCTCTAACTAACCAACAAATCCGTATACTTAGCTTTATAATTGACTATTTGGGGTTCGGAGATGAGTTCTGGCCGGGGTTCTGGAAATGGATTTTTCTCTGGAATTTCACTTGTGGCATTCGACATTGTTTCTAAAAGCTCAGACAATACCTGCTGAGCTTCTTTTTTCGCATTTTTGAAATGAAGTCTTTTTGATCTAGATAATCCTGCTTCTGTTGGTAGCTTCTGGTTAAATAATAATAGGGTGGGAACAGCAGTTTTTTAGAATAACTCTTTCGTAAGTAAAATGAACTGAGCAGACATAGCTTTTATCTGAATTAAGTTTGTCCTCTCTTCTACATCGAACTATCCACTCGTTCCGAATAGTGCGGGATACTAGACCTTTCCCTTTGGGAAAGCGATGAAAACTTTTAAATCAAAATAGTTGTTATTGCACCCATACATGGCACATCTCGTTCCAGGCATACCTAACTAGTTTTGGATGTAACTTATCCCACTGAAAAAGGTAAAAGAAATGTATTTCTTACCTTTACCTATATTATTATGTGTAATATTTTGAGCTTACCTCCTGACTAATAACACCGCTAATAAGCAGCACGAACACAAAACTTTTAAGTCTTTGTTTAAGGTTAAAAATACTGTTTTTCTCAGTTCTCGCCACTCAAGCACATACAATTTTAAAGTATTTGTTAAAGTTTAAAAACACTGTTTTGTCCAATTTATTTTGACAGAAATACAATTAACACAAACATACTACGCACTACTCACTAGTTTAAATTATTTTAATTGTTCAAAGAACACAAATACAACGGTTTAATGCATTGACAGAATACACAAAAACCGTTACAGGATTTCGCTTACGTCACAAGCGACCACGTGCGATCGATAATTTTGGCGAACGTATGTCTTATGGGATTGGGCAATCCTATTAGGTTTACGATTCTTGGGAAATAGTACTCTTTTCAGCACGTATACCACAAGCCAGGGCCCTATTTAAGATGCTGACAAGAACTGTACCGTGAGCACTTGTATGTATTTGTAATGTATTTTAAGACTTTCATATTAGTGTGCTTTTTATAAATCGTCCTAAAACAGAACCGACTTGATGTATCAAAAACACATTAGAAAGCTTAATCTGATTTCTAATTTATAGGTTTAACATAATGATAAAAATGATTAAAAACGATAAATCGTTTGGCGACCTTCTTTAAGGAGGCATGCTTCATAGTTTTTTGCACAGCAATACCGAGAAGCTGGCGGAATTGCCTCAGCGGCAGTTGCCAAAAAAGCGTAATTAAAAAGAAACTAAAATTTTCATTTCTGTGTTTACGTCATATAACACGTCTGCTCTATACCTGTGGCTTGCTTTAACAGTGGGCAAGCCCCCCTAAAATCGAGTCGTCGCTTTTTGATCTCTGCCCATTACGCGTGAAACGTTAATCCTAAAACGTAATGCATAGAGCGTAGTCGTTTTCGCTTACTACCTCGGGGCAACTTATTTATTTCGCGTTATATATACGATCTTTGATGCAGATCACGTCCTCGCGCGGAAAGAAACGTCGGCAAAGTATAGGTAAACGTAGCTATCTACTTAGTTGCACGCGGTAGCTTCCCTATATCGACCGTAGGAAATTGAAATAGGCTAATTTGGCATGTGCATATATTGAAGTGCCCGTCGGAGCGTTTCGAGCGACCGCTGCGGGAGAGTTAAACCTTATATGCGTCGCAGTATATTATTTCGAACGACTTAATATTGAAATGAACGCGTGAAAGATAAAAGACCGATCGGCCGGTAATATTTTTGCCGCGGCTTTGGATTTCTTTCGTCTCTCGTACCTTATTTATTGCTCCCGGCCGTATTTACCGGAGGCGAGACACTCTGCGGGCCGCGTATTCTGATTAATCGCACGTCACGTGCATTTTTAAGTGGGCAGAATGTATAAATATAAAAAGCTAACTCGCGTTACCCGCTACGCAAACTGACATTCAGAACCGTAATATTTAAACACAACATTCTTTTATTCTTCTTTTATTTCTCGTTACTTCTTCTATTCTCTGTATCGTAATAATCTTCTTCTTTTTCAGGTTTGGGGAGTCGCCGAGTCGAACATCCGAACGCCGCACAGACTTGGGCCTTATAGGTTCAGTTGAATATTTTTAAAAACTACTGGCCTGTTAAGTCCCAAGTTTTTGTAGGTACTGTACATCGACGAAATACTACGCGCATCCGCCATGACGTCCTCATAATCGCGGCGACTGGGCTTGGCAGTTGAGACAAATTTGGGGTTTCTTAGCGGCATTTGCCAGTAAATTTGATTGCAATGCCCTTGGAAATCCCAAACATGTTCAATACGGCTTCAGTAAACGACCGGGATATGACAACCGGCACGTGATTAGCTTTAAGTAAATCAAGTCGGTTATGTCTTACGTTCGTGTTGTATTCCTGTTAATTCTATGGGTTTGATAAAGTAAGTTCTCATTGGCTGCCTTAAATTTTTTGAAATGGAGCTGATGAAGCTGAAAAATGGCATGCAGTGAATCTATGATAATATCTCTCTGTTTGGTTAGTTGGTTAGCCATTTGTTTAATTAGTACTTCCGCTGATCTGTGCAATTAGAAGTTGTGACGAAATTTTTGAAAAAATGCTTTGTGTACTTTAAAAATCTTTATAACACCAAGCTTGTGAAAGATGCCATATTGTTTTTAAGTATGTAATAAAACCTTAGTTCATTAATTATGTGGTCCATCCTGCAGTCGATTTATCTTAGTTTCCCTGTATTTTTCATTTTAAATAATTCATGTAAAAATATGAAACTATTAATATTTTCTATTAATCCTCAATTTTTTATCATCTGCAGAGACGACTACTCATGGACTGGCGATGAGTAAAATGAAAAAAAAAGGAAGAAAGAAAAGATTACGAGTACAACATAAATGCAATATCTTCAAATTTTAAGTCAGCCATAATTTACAACAAATTTTAATACGCTCTGCTTTCTATCTGTATTAAATTGTAAATCGCCATTTGTGAATGTCACGGATTTTTCTGATAGTCAGCCTTCCGGTTTTTGTGATCTGTGGTTATAGTTACGCGCTCAACGCATTTAAATGGATAAAAAGGATAATGATCTTTCATTTTCATGCAAAAATGTCATCATAGGCCGTAGAAAGGACTCCGTTCAAGGACGATTCTTTATTTTATGATCGATTTTTATTAAAACACTTCGAAAATTCAAACTGAGTATTATTTACGCAAAACCGCGATCTATTTTCCAAACAAAAATACACAAACTAACTGCCAAAGTCTTTTATTGCGCAATTCGTTTACAGGTTAATCCCACGAATCACATTCCGCAAACGTCTTCCTTTTCTTCACCGCAGGTTCATCCGATTCGTTTGCATCCTCTGAACTGCTCGACTGGATCGTCTCGTTTTCGGTCTCGGAAACGGATTCGTCCATTTCTTCTTCTATGGGTTCGAACGATCGTTTCGGAATAACCCTTAAAAGAAACGTCAAAAGGAGGAGCGAGGAATCAGAACCTAACCTCACCCTCCAGAATTGTCGGTTTTGCATCTTTTACGGCACGCGCCCGGCGGTTCTGACGATTTCCTGGTTTTTAGAGGACTCAGACAAGGAATTTTAATGCCGGCTAATTGCGACTGTCTTCTGGCGAACGTGGTGATCGTAAAAACGTCGCCCTTCGATAGGGTTTGCAACACGAACGGGGCGTGTTCTTTTTTAAATAGGCCGACGTAAGCCGATGTTTCGGACAACCAGGCGACCTGTACGGAACCTAATTGCGAGTAGATTTTAAAAAAATGGGGCTTTTAGGTTATAAGGAGACGAATTGCGCATGGACCAATTATAATTGAGATTTTTCGAATTGCTTGAATTGAACACAGGGCTGTTCTTCATATACATTAAGAAATATCCTATAATGATAATGTCAAACTAGCATTAGCAAGTGCCAAGTATTCTAGAGGCTGTCTCCCCTCAAAGGCTTATCTTAATATCTTAAAAGAACGATCAAAAAATATTCGCATATATTTTGAGTGATATGCGGTTATGCTACGCTACCATTTGCTTTGCTATTCTTAGTCGAACCTTTTAAGCTGCTGCTAAAATGTATGTGCTAACCTCAATATCATGGAGTTTTTTATCGAAGAGTTTTTGACTTGGTTTTTATATTTTCAATCCTGCAAGGGATCAAAGTATTGCTCTACAATACAAGACTTGAAAAATCAAAAAGTTACCATCAGAAATCAAACACAGGCTACACTAAGCTACGCGATGTTAAAATGTTACTGATTTCAAAAAATTGACAATATTTTGGCCATTTTATATCTCTGAAATTGTCTGTCATATGGCATATTTAGAAACAAATATTTTGCAACATCCACATAACAATCGCTAAAATAGGCTTAGACGCTTTTGTTAAATACAAAAGGTATTTTCGAAATTGCACAAAATATTAATATTGCGGTTTTAGTGAATACTAAACAAATTTTGCAAGAATTTTTTTAAAGGTTAATGTAAAGTAGATATTTGAGCATCGGTGAGTTAAATAACGTGCTGTTACAAAATTAAAGTTATTGTTGCCAATATGGCGCAAAAACTAAAACATTTTATTTTAAACATTTCAAATAAAAGTCAAGTTTTCTTTTTCGAAAATCATAATCAACTTTAATTTTTCTTATGGACGCGCATACAAGTTGAATCGTAATCGTATCTTTAATTTTTAGTTGCTTGATAGCAACAGATGGGTAAAAGTAGACAGAAATTTTGACATATAACATGTCTCCTTCTTTTTAGTAGTCTGTGATTTGACTTACCAAACGGACTAAACAATTGCGCAATGTTGTCGGTTTTCCATTCTTTCGGAAACGTCAAATAGAAAACGTGTTCTCGGGACGGGTTCACTAAAAAAAAATGGATCACGTCGAATTTGGCAAGCAAGTTTCTGTACTTACGATCGTGGCCGGCCACGTGAAGGTACTGGTTGTCCGTCAAAAACATCAGGAAAATCCTTCGGTAATGAAATAGACAATTTAAACTACCAGTTAAGGTTTTTTCATTTAATCTCACTTGTTTAAGTAGGGCTTGAGAAGCGCGAATCCCAATTCGCCGAAAATGTCTTCGTCGGACCAATTCCTAACAAAACCTTAAAAAAAATTCGAAAATCCTAAATAGGAGGAATCCGAGTGTAGGTTTTCGTACCTAAATGTTGCCACATGGCCAGAAAACAGAGGCCGGTGATAAACGAATCGTAACCTGCTTCATGCTCTTTCGGGTTGTCGGTACTATAACCGACTTTGCCGGATTCCACCTCTGGAAATTGGTAAAAAATAGTTAAATTTGACACGAACGCGATCGAGATGAGCGCCCTACCCGTCTTCGGAAGCCCGAATGGAGCTTCCGTCAAGATGCCCAACAGGGATCCCAAAATTGTCGTGCTTATTTGCGACTTGAAAGGGGCGGAGCTTGACATAAATTTGGTATCCAATATTCTATAAAAAAATTTAAAAAAATCCATAAGTTCAATTTGAAATTTTGAAGCGTCTCTATGCAATCATGTTCTCGAAATATGACCTTGAAAGTATGCATTTTGAATTTAAGAAAAGGATTGATTGATCAATTTTCAAATACAATTTTAAATTAAAGATAGAGAATTGAATATTTAGAGTAAAAGCACGGAAAAGCAGAAACCTCGAGAACATTGAGCCGGCGCATTCCTTGAAGTCATTGTAGTCCTCTGGCAAAGGAGTCAAGAATTTTTCAATGGTGTGCAAAAAATCCAAGAGGAAATTATGTCCTATCACCAATTTTCCCTGAAACACAATGCAGATCATAGTGATAAGATTAGAACTCAAAAATTTCAATAATTAGGTAAGTACCGATTTGACGATCAACCTTATCACTTTGCTGAACCCCAAGTATCGGTTCAATTCATTTAAGGAGTCTGAAAAATTCCGCTTTTCGTCCTTTCCTCTCTCCTCTGTCGTTTTAATCCTCGTAGCACATAATACACGTTCCTTTTCCACTTCTTTGGTTTCCAACGAAATTTTATCTCGAAACTTCTCCCGGTTGACCTGGTAGACTAGTTTTCGAAGGAACGCGTTACATTTGGGCAAGTAGAGCTCCGTATCTTTGCCGTCCAAGAAATCCTCTAACTTGCGACTAAAAAAACGAGTCAAATGTGCTACCAAAACTTGGCAATTTTCGACATACTTACACGACGTCGTCGAGAAAAACTTGAGCGCTCTCGGGAATCGGAATGTTATCGTTGTTTTCGTCAACATTCGTGTTGATAAAGGCCAGTCTTTTCTCATGTTGCTCGGTGAGCAGTTTTTTAGACGCATTTTCCTCGGTATCGTTTAAGTACGAAATACCGTCTTTAAACAATTTGTTGAAATCGAATCCGTTAGCTATCAAAAAATCTATGCTCGAAGTCTGACATAAAAATCTCTGATCGGGTACGTATTTGTGCAAGTTTCTGCGAAATACGTAAAAATTAAAGCTCTGATGCCTAAAGCGATTTTCGCCTTTCTCGTATCTAAAACGATCGGCGCGTTTAACAAAAAAACATGGAAAACATGTTTTGAACGAACCTGAATAAAGTTATACCGTACTGGATAACTAAAAACTCTTTGCAATCCCTTGTAATTTTTTTGTAATACTGCTCGGGACTGTCGAAAGCGTTTATATTGTTAAGCGCCACTTTTAAACCAGTTAATTCGCAATCTACGCTTAAAAATGAACATCCATTTATCGCTTTTTCAATTTCCGGCAGCAGTTGCTCGAAATCTTCGTAATAAATTGTGTTATCATCTTTAACCATTTTGAAATAGTAAAACGGCTACTTACTGGATTGCGTTACTTCCATCTTCGGTGGCGAATTTTTATTGCCTCTGATGCACCGTTCGCCTTTCCGTGTAAAACTTGACCAAGGTCATCGAGAATTAATATTGCTACACGTGACGTTTTGAGGTTAGAAATAAAATTGAAAATATAAACAAAAACGGAACACGAAAAGCAAACTGGTATTCTGCGACTACAGAAACGTGCTTAAAATTTTCCGATAACGAAAATGGTTCTGTGGTCTGTCGGAAAATGACACGACAATTCAACATTGACAATATTGACATTCCGTCAGTTGAGGAAGAGCAAGCGAGCGAGTGATTTGGGGCACTGTGTGCAATTATTTAGTGCTAATGGTTTGAGCAAATTGGTAGCTTTTCTTTTGACGCATTTGCGACATCGCTTACGTATCAATCAGCCGATTTTTATTTGCAAGCTTTGCTTTCGAAAGTTTCCTTTATCTAGAACCATCCATGAAGGTTAAAACAGAAACGTGCTTTTAACTACTTCGACGAAATGAGTAAGAAAAAGCACCAGCGCGATCCGAACAATGAGGACGAGTCGTCCGAGACGGGCGACGACAACCAAAACAGTGCAGAATGCAGGCACATTGGGAAAGCGGTGGATTTGGGCAGACTGAAAAAGTCGCTGGTCAGCACTGGTTTTTTAACGGAGTGCGAAGAGTGCAACAAAGAGCCTGCTGATGCAGACACGTCAGACATGGCCATCGAATATGACATGTCGTTGTGGTTGTGCTTAAAATGCGGGCACCAAGCTTGCGGCAGGGCTAAAAACAAGCATGCACTTCGACACCATGGAACCCCTCACTCTGATTCACACGCAATGTGCGTAAATACAACCATATGGAGCATTTGGTGCTATGACTGTAACGACGAGGTGAACATCACATGCAAGAAAAAGCTCCAGGAAACTGTTGAGTATTTGAAGAAACAAGCTGAAAGCAACAAAATTAAACAAAAAATTCCCACGCCTCAAATAGAGGATAAGGTAAGATGGCATTATGCAACTTTTGCTTTTATGCTCGAATTGAAATGTTTACAGGTCGTTGATCTTGTTTTACCCCAACAGTTAAATAATAATGACGGGCTCTTAAGAAAGCTAGGCGCCTCTAATTTCACCCGAGCCAGAGGTTTAACAAACTTAGGTAATACATGCTTTTTCAACTCGGTTATGCAATGTTTGGGGCAGACGCCCTACCTCTTGCAACTGCTTGACGAAACTGAGAATCCGGGCCAAAAGTTCAAGCTGCCGGGAGGCACTCTAAAATTGCCGGACAAGCAGGAGATCCAAGTACCACCATTGGAAGGTAACAGTTTTGGTTTTCAATTTTCCTGGTCCCTGTGGAAATATACAATTTGACACTTGGAAAATATTAAAAAGGCAAATCACCAAACTGATAAACATGCCACAGAGATAAAACAATTCTTTGTTGGTTAGTAGATGATAGGATTGTTTGAATGTGACTGAACAATTTTGGTTTTACCATGCTTTTGCCGTAATTTTATTTTTTTAGCAATTGTAAGTTGGTATTCGTTTACATAGTACAACAGTATCTACGTAAATGTCAAAGCCATTTAGGTATCTAGCTAGCTATCACAATGGACGGAATAAAAAATCCAATAAGACACAACCACAAACTACAAAGTTCAGTTAAGAATTCTGTATGTTTTAAAAATAAAGTACAGTATTTTACTTGGTTAATGCATATTTAAAAATTGCCAAACCAGGCTGATTTGTCACCGTCTCGGTAATGTGTGTGTGTGTGTGAGTAATGTTGATTGCGATATAATGCATATTTGAAATTATTGCTATTATTTATTATTGCCTAAAGTTATAAACAAAGACTGGTGATAAATGGTTCTAAAAATTGTAGATTCTCCATAAGAAAGAAAATTCATATAAACAGAGTCTAGAAATCTTTGGTTTTGTGATATGTTTAAAAAAGGCTTATGCTAAAATATCTACGTCATAAGCAACATGGCGGGTAATTTTCTTTAGTGTTAATTTTGTAGAACTAAGTTTATTTTCAACAAAGGGGTCCAGGAAACCATAAACATATGACTTGTCAATTTTCGATTTTCATTTTTTATTTGAAAACGAAACAACATATGAAAGCAACTCAAAAGTAAAGAAAGTTGCACTTTTAGTGGCTTATTCAAAGTAAATAACAAAAATTGCAATCTTGCAATTTTAACCTAGTTGTAGTAAAATAAATAGTAGCAAAATAAATGGTTCTAAAAAACAGTCTATTGTAGATTCTCCATAAGAAACAAAATTCATCTAAACATAGTCCAGGAATGCTTGGTTTCTGATATTTTTAAAAAAGCTTATGCTAAAATATCTACGTCATAGGCTACATGCCAATTAAGTTGATAGCGGTTAATTTTCTTTAGTGTTAACTTTGTAGAACTAAGTTTATTTTGAACAAAGGGACCCAAAAAACATAAAAATACGACTTGTCAATTTTCAATTTTAATTTTTTTGTTTGAAAACGAAACAACATACAAAAGCAACTCAGAAGTAAAAAAAGTTGCACTTTTAGTGGCTATAACGAAAATTGCAATCTTGCAATTTTAACCTAGTTGTAGTAAAATAAATGTAAATAAATAAATGAAGTTGACAAATTTGAACAAAATGCGGCAATGTTTAATGTATCTTGAAAAATATGTTTTTTTTTTAAATAATATTTAGTACCCCCCAGTTATTCTAGGGACACTAGGTTTATATAAAGTTTTTTTTTTCCCTCTCCCTCTCTGAAACAGTTTTTTCTCCAAAGTTCAACTTTGTTAGATATTTTTCAAGAAAAGGTAGAAAAAGATATTTTTGAGTGAGTTAAAAAGATTACTGAACGTGTTGCATACTATACTTTTTCTACGAACCGTTAATTTTTGGGTACATTTTCGCAAAATACGCAATATATTCACTGACACGACTGTCAGAATTGACAAACGTCAAAATTCAAAGCGTGGGACGTATCTCCGAAAACATCCGATTGCTCCCAAACCCGTGCGGTAAATCCCCGGAAATGTCCGAAGTGGCTCGGATTCGTGGGAAACGAAACTGGCGTGGTAAAGTGACGCTTCCCGCACGCTAGATCGGTGTGTACTTAGGTATTTTACAGAAAGGAGTAGAAAAATAATTTTTGTTTGGGCTATAAATAAATGTCCTCACTAAGGGATATGACTGTAACAATAGATATTTCCGTACAATGGTTGTCTAATTAACCTATGATTAGTTAAAAATGTATCAGCCGTTTTTTCACAGCCCTTGTGTAATAAAAATATGTACACCTTAAAGGCGAAACCGAAAAATGGAATCCGCTGACCCAAACCCTCGCGGAAACGCTGAAAGAGCTGCAGAGCGGACGACCCGAGGTCTACAACCCTCGCGCCTTGCTCAATCGCCTGACCGGTCGGATGCCTCAGTTCGGGGGCGGGGACCAGCACGACGCGCACGAGCTGCTCAGACATCTGCTCGAGGCCGTGCGGGAGGACGACCTCAAACGCTTCTACTCGGTTATATTAGAGAAATTAGGTAAGCGACAGAGACGATCACAACGCGCAATGGGCTGAATGGTAGAACTACGTTGACACTTTTTTTAGTATTTAAAAAGGTTTATTTTGCTTTTTTATTTGTGACTAAATATGTGTTTATGTTTTACGAGTACTCAGAAGAAAGGATTATTAATAGTTATACAGGATGTTATTCTAGATTTGTACACATAATATCATGTTCTTACACAAGAAGTAAAATGGTGATTTCAAAATCATTTATTAATATCTAATATTTTATAATTACTATTTGCAAATCTTCCGGATTAATCCTTTATCGGTTGTTTATAAATCCAGCTTCCTGACGTTTAGCCAATTGTCCTCTTGGCTCCTTCAGAGTTAAATTGAGACAGAAGCGCGATAACTACAGCTGTGGCTGCAAACAAGCATGCAGTATAGTATACATGAGAAAAAAGAAAAAAAAACTTTGTTCCGGTAAAAGATATTTTTTTTGTTTCTTACGAAAGTTCTATTAATTTGTAATTTGATATGATTAGGTATACCATTCTAATTACTAACAGCAACATAGACGAAAGACTTTAAAAAAATTTCATGTGATCACATTCTATCCAGTCCTGTATTTCTTTATTGTCTATTTCTTCCAAACCATTTATTTGCAAGGCTATAGATGCTATGTTTTTGATCGATAGCTTACCTTCATTTAACTGATTATTATCTCCAATGTCTTCATCCTCTGTATCTTCTATTAAAGTCATTATTTAATAAAATGATTTTTTAATATTGTTGCCTTTACTCCATTCCAAGCACGAGCTACATCATATATTGCCTCTTTCAAATTTAGACGTTTCCAAAAGTTGAAGCATATGATCTTTTCTATAAAGCCTTTTGATTGTCTCTATAACCCCTTGGTCCATTTGCTGGGCAATAGATGTTAGAATATGCTACGAATTATTATTATATACCATGTCTTTTTCAAATGTAATATTTACAAACTCACCTGCTACTATATATACCGAAAAATGACCATTAAACCTTAATTAATGTTGTCGCGAGAATTTAAGTTCAATAAAGGAGAGGTATTTATATCTAATTGATCGTTAAGCAATACATTTGAATGTCTCATTTTGTTAATCTCCATGGCTTCTAATAAATTTAATTTTCTACTTTTTGTGGCTGTGTGTAATATATCAAAATTGTCGTCAAAAATGTGTTTTTCTGTGTTTAAGTGTGTAGCATAATTATATTATATTACACACAGCCACAAAAAGTATATTTTACTAAGTACGCGTTGGGCACAGTATGTTTTCAATAATATTTCGATGTCAAATCTTATAAGTTGCCTTTGGTTTAATTGCCCTCCGTGCGATATCACCCTACTTTGTCTCACGCCCGGCTCCGCCCACCAGGCTTCACTCGGAAAACGGATCCCGCGACCGTCGACGACGAGAAGAAGCGCATCACCAAGTTCTACGGGCAGCAGGTGTCCGAGATGCTGCTCGCCACCGAGCAAGTTTTCAGGGGCGTGCTGATCAGCACGCTCCAGTGTCAGGTGTGCCACCACGTGTCGCATCGCGACGAGTTCTTCCTCGACCTCAGCCTGCCGATATGCGAGAAGCAATTGGCCCCGGTACTGCGCAGGAAAGCGGAAGAGATTGAGGACGCGGCGAAGCCGTCCAAGTACCAGATCAAGAAGGAAAAACGCGCGGAGAAGAAGAAAAAGAACAAGAAGCACCAAAACCAGAGGAACGGAGCGGCGGCGTCGGGGGCGCTCGTCCAGCAAGCGGACGACGTCTTCATGGAGAACAAGTCGGAGAGCGAGTCGGACGCGGACGTAGAGGACAACGCGGAGGAGCCGCCCGACGTCATAGCGTTGCCGGCTCCGCCCCAAAGCAAGGGCACCGAGTCCGGATACAATTCGGACAAGGTGGACAACAGCAGTCCGGATTCGAACAATCACCGGACCGAGTCGCCCGTGGACGTAGACGACAGCGGCGTGCCGAGCCCCACGGCCGCTGGGGGCGCTCCCAGCGTGTCTCCGACGAGTATAGGCAACAGCCCCGCCTCCAGCGAGACAAACGTCGACATGGGTAGCCCGCTGCTGGGTCATAACAGTCCCGACGAGGAGTACGGCGAATGCGCGGCGAGGTGAGTAACAAAATAATAATTATTATTATTTATTTATCAACGGGCCAACCGCCCAATATAAAATAGGATTCACATAAAACGAAATAGTAAACAACAAAATAAAATAAACCAAAACCTAAAATATCAACTAGACTCAAAGAACACGAAAGAGCCTTACGACTAAGACAAATAAACTCATCAGCTGTTACCGAACACACTCATGAAACCGGACATAAAATATTTTACAGCCTAGACGAACTTTTTTGAGTAAATGTTTTTTTATATGTCTATGTATATTGTATAGGGTGGGCCGTTTATCTTGGGACACCACCTTATCTCAGAAACTATAGGGAATGGAGGCAAAAGTTAATTGGGGTATTACAAACCTTCAATTTATTTTAATGTTATATATACAGGGTGTTTCATTTCTCGTGGGCCACTTTTTTATTCGAAATGGACATATTTTGCGTATAATGTCCTATACCTAGGTCTAACCGTTTCTAACATTTTTAATTTTTTATACGAAAAATGACGTTTACGAGATATCTAATTTCTTCATTCGGAAACATTGTTTCACTTGAGTAAGTTGTGTTGTAGACAAAGGACACGAATGACAGATTTTGTAATAAATTTCTATACATAATAATATAGGAACGTGAAAAATATAAGATTAAATATGAAATTAAAAAAAATACCAAAAAGTGGAAGCTATCTATTTTTATAATCTTGTCAGATTTTTACTTTTTGAAATATTGTTGGTGCTACATCGCACACAACGCGTCGTTCACTAAATCTTCTTCAAGAAATGTTCCTAAACAAAGTGGTGTTTTTACGGGGTGATCTTGGCTGGCCGCCACGTTCGCCTGATTTGTCGCCTGATTGCGACTTTTTTCTTTGGGGTTACCTGAAAGCGAGAGTTTTCGCACATCGTCCGCGCCCCAGGGTAATCCATCGGGTAATAATGCGCTTCCGCGAGAACCTACAAGAGTGCATCGGCCGTCATTTAAAAGACATCATTTTGAAAAAAAAACGTTCCTAAATGGCATAAAATGTACATTTCAAAAATAATTTTAAAAAAATGTTTGCTTTATGTAGTTCGGTTTTTATTAACATCCCAAATAGTACCCCTATTATTTTGCCGCACCCTGTAGTTTCTGAGATCAGGTAGCGGCCCTATTATGTATTTCGACTATTCCTATACAATAGTTGTCTTTGGAAAAATTATTATTATTATTTTAATTCTGTAAACTTTGGTCTTACGAAGTGGGCACGTTGTTACAGTTCGTTCCAGACGAGGCCGATGTCGCGCCTGGCGTTCGTCGGGAACACTCCCAAAGGCGCCGACCTCAAGGTCGACTTGGAGAAGCTCAGCCTACTGAACGACGGCGATTCGGTCAAAGTGGACGACAAGATGGACGACGACGACGACGAAGAAGGGGGGGAGGAGCGCGGCGACGACGCGGCGCTGATAGATTGGTCTGGAACCCTCGCCTCCCGCTACGTCTGCGAGGAGGGGGAGTGTTCGGTCGAGTCGTGCCTGAACCAATTCACCGAGTGCGAGCTGATGATGGGCACCAACAAAGTGAGCTGCGACAGGTGCACCAGGAACCAGCCGGGACCCGCGAAGAAGACCGTTTACACGGACGCGTCCAAGCAGCTGCTCATTTACAACCCGCCCGCCGTGCTGATACTCCACCTCAAACGGTTTCAGGTGAGTGGGCGGGGCTCGTTTGAAACTTTACGTTTTCAATCGAAAATTCTCAATGTACGGGGGTGGTCGTAATTGGAGTTTAACAGGAAACACCTATTTGAACGTTTACCGTGCCATACTCCTGATTGCATTGTGGCTTTTGTTTTGAAGGACTGTGCGAGTGTCCTTGCTCTACCACTTACGGTTCTACTTGCACCGTGTAGTAACTTTAATTCTAATTTTAAAGACTAAGTAGGTCAAACTACCTGGCAATCTCGGGACCTTTGACAACACTCTCTCTCGCATGGCATAGGCATTAACCAATTTTTTTTTTCGTTTTTTCTTCTAATAATTATAAATTCTGGTTATTTGTGGGTTTTTAGTCCTACGTCGGAGAGTTGTTTTTGGTACTCCGAAAGCTGTTTAAGATGCATTGTCAAAATTCAGGTAAATTTAATTAAATTTAGGGGTCGGTCGTTAAAAGCCACAAAAAATAATAAAACACTTCAGTCTCCCGTCTTGCCCCGCCCTCCCCTAGTAGGAGGGCTATATTCGGGATTTGGAATAAAAAACTATAAGCTACCAACAATTATGACCTTATTGTTTCTCAAAATATTCATCCTGATATCAATACACGATTGCATTCGATAAAACCATTCAACAAAGCACTTTTCCCATATCGAGTCGGGCACTTCTGATGTGAAAAATCGTTACCCACGTAATGTATGGGAATAAAAAGAAGTCATTATGGTGGATGGCTCATCGAATCAACGGTTTTAATGCTCAAAAAGTTCTTTGCACTGACCGGTGGGAACTAGCATTGTCATCGTGGAGAGTGATTCGTCTTCGGCGGTTGGTTTTTCGAATTTATTCAAAGACTTTCGGTAAACAAACGGTTGTATATGATATGTTCATAGATATAAGAAAGTGACCAATTGCTTTCGAATGGGGTTATCCAAGGGACAATGCAACAAGATTATTACCTAAAGTTTCGGAATTTAAATTCAGGTAAAATTGTGGTCAGTAAAAGAAAATAATTTTATACCTACCTGTGTTTAATATTCTTTGGTTTGGTATACTACCGAGTTTAAGTTTATTAGTAATAATTCTTATTTCGTGTGTGGAATCGTGTGCGAATTATACAAAATATATGCGAGTCTAGTGTATCTCAGGAGATGCTCCCGCCAAAATGCAGAAAACACTATTCTATTGAAACTAAGGAAGTTGTGGTGGAAAATTGTGAATAATCCCATTTCAGAGAGGGAAAAAAGAAGCGATGCTGACATTTTCTCGAGGATAGATAAAAGTGATCACATTAGATATCTTAATTAGGAGGCTTGAAAAAGATGAAACCGGTGTTGAATGTGGCAGAACTACCTTATGGAAGTGTATTCAACACATGGGTTTTAGAGTTAAAAAAATTGACAAAAGGCAGGTTTTAATGGAATCTTTTAAAATTCGGAAATGGCGACTGGAATATCTAGAAAAATAGGATTTACAGAGAACAACAATGGCTAATTATTTACTTGGATGAAACCTGGTTCGACACTTATGATACCCCGGAAAAGGGTTGGGTTGACTCAATTGATAAGTGTAAAGCAAACGCGCCATCAAACAGAGGTAAAACAATAACTATTTAGCATGCTGGCTCTAAAGATGGTTAGATTCCAAATGGACTTTCTCTGTCTGCGAAAAATATTAAAGATTTTTCTCTGATTTATTTGAAAGTTGGTTTAAAAACAAACTAGTTCCAAACATTCCTCGTAATAGCGTCATTGTAATGGACCATGCAACTTATCACAGTAGACAGTTGACTAAAACCCCTTCCTCATGTGACACAAAAGCAACAATCCAAAACTAAATGTATAATAACGACATTTATTTTGACGAAGATGATACCTTTGTAGGTTCTACAAAGCTTGAACCTACAAAAAGAATACGTCTGTGATAATTATGCAAAAGATCTAGGGCATACAGTTTTAAGGCTTCCACCTTACCACTGTATATTTAATCCCATTGAACATGTTCGGCACCAAATGAAATCTGCCATTCGTCCTAACAATGTTTTTCCCCATGTTAACTCCAATGTCGTCAAACTTATAGAAACCGAAATTTTTAACATCCCTCCACAAAGTTGGGCAAATTCCGTTAAACATATAGAAAAAGCAGAACAATCGTATATCCATATTGCAAATAATATAGAACAAATAATAATTAGAACAGGCGATGATAGCGATAGTGATACTGATATATTATGTGAATAATTTTAAGTAATTTAAATAGGTAATAAAAATAATTTGTAATTTTATTTTAGATTTAAACATAAATACATAAATAAATATTGTTTAGTATCTTTCCTAACAAAACCCCAAATAATTAAATTCTAAGCAAAGTACGGACCTGTTCGGCCATATTTCATTCTTACAGCTTGCCCGGGTCTTTCCTTAATTCGTATCAGTTAGTCACTTTCTTATATCTATGAACAGACTTTACCTCAATCTCACGGTAAGTCACATGACGATCCTGCAAAATCAGTTTCCGCTCTGCAACAATATTTTCTTGGACAACTAGCGATTTTCGACGACCTTCACGAAATTCATCCTTAAGAAAACTTCGAACACGACTGAAGTCCGAAAACCAGCGATAAACAGTAGTCCTAAATGGTGCTTTAACTCTAAAAGTCGAATTTAGTTCATCGATGCATTGTTGTTTAGTCGACGTCTAAAGTTGTAAATAAACGAAAATGTTGCCAATTAAGTTCCCTTTTTAACCGTTACATTTTTTTTTTTCATTTATCACAAAAAACACAAACAACACTCTTTCGCCAAAACCTAACCGAATAAACCTAACCTCAAATTTCAAAATTTCACTATAAAAACGTTAGTCGCCAGATGGCAGGACTAGTATACAGTTTTGACGGTTTCGCAGGTGTACAGGTATCGGTCCGCGAAAGTGTCCAAATTCGTCAAGTTTTCGGCGTTGCTCGACCTCGGTCCGTTCTGTTCGAAAAAATCACGGAGCCTGCCGACGTTCGTGGCCGGTCAATCGAAGGTGCTCTATTCGTTGTACGGTGTGGTGGAGCACAGCGGTTCGATCCACGGTGGCCATTACGTGGCGTACATCAAGGTGCGGGCGCCGCTAGACGATCGCAGTCCCCGATGGAATTTCATCCCGAAAAACCAAAAGGGCAACAACAACAACGGTACGCCGCTGGACCCGGAACCGCCGCCGGGCAAATGGTACTACATTAGCGACTCTTACGTGTCGGAGGTGTCCGAGTCGAAGGTACTGTCCGCGCAGGCGTATTTGTTGTTTTACGAGAGGATATTGTAATTTTTTTTCTGTTTCCTCCGACAACCCCCCCCCCACATCCCATCGAACTCCCGATTTTTTTTTCGTAGATTAATTTTTCATTATTTAGGTGGTTATCGAGTAAAAGAAAAACTTTTTGTCGATCTGAGACTGGTCGTTTTATTTCGCGCGGAAGAGACACGCCCTATACCGGGTGACACAAGAAAGTGGCGACACTATATAGCTTTTAAAAGGCTTGAGATAGCGATTTAAAATTTGCAGCGGTTAATATAGGCTGAACGTCCGACGGTTTCACTTCTGATTTGAACGGAAACGGAAGAATTTTACAAGACGGTTTTTCTCATTTTTTAAAATTTTTATTTAATTTTTGTGCCTACGAGGCTGTGACCATCATAAATACTATTTACCGGGTCACCTGATCATGGGAAAAATTGTAAATGAAACTTTTCTTCACTCGTCTAACGGCAAAGAGCATTTAATGTAATCTACTATTAATTTTTTAGGATAATCTAGTTTTTTCAAATAACACCCTAACGGGAACCAAATCTTTTTAAAGTCGGTACTTTTTTTGCAACATTTTGCCACCAAAATTTTCAAAATCCGTTAACAAATAAGCTCACTGCAGGGAAAAAACCAGATAAGTAAATAAATTTTTATAAAAACAAAATATTACTTAGGTGACTTTCCTTCTATTCATTATTAATTGTCAAGTCGGTAAGATTAAAAATTCTGACAGTTTGATCATGTCGATTATTTTGTGGATTTCTCATTTTCAATTCCAGCTTTCTAAAGAAAGAATGTGCAGGAAGGCGAAGTCAAGAGATAAAAATGTACAAGCTGTCAGAATTTTCAATCATGCCGACTTGATGAATACAAGCAAAGCCACCTAAGTCATATTTTGTTTTTATAAAAATGTATTTTTCTACTCCCGTCTGTGAAATGCCTAATTACGCACCGATCTAACGGACGGGAAGCGTCACTTTACCACGTCATTAAATGAATGGTAGAATCTACCATCTTTTAAAGTAAAAAAATGATGTAAGTTAGTTTTTTCCCAAAACATATTAGTATCGAAGAAATGGCAGTTTTCTTATCTCTGTTCATAGGTTAGAAAACGTCTATTTTTCCCATAAAAAAGAAATATAAAGCTGGCCAGGTTTTTCCAGACGTTCTTTTATCAAATACGACCCAACATACTGGATTGAATGAAAAGAAGATTTTGAGAGACAAATTTTTTGAACACTGTCAAACTAACCAAAACAGAAGCAGTGTTTTTTAATTTATCCTAAATTTAGCAGAATTTTCATGACTTTTGAACTGTAGAAAAAAATAATTGTGTGAAGGGGTTCTATTGAAACAATTTCCATGCATTTAAACAGTGGTCTTGTAAAAAAACATAGGACTATCAAAAATGGCAGATAATAAAGATCTTTATCTCGGTATAATAGTTTTATTTGCCAAAACAATATCCAATCATTCGGCTGGAATACAGTTTGGACCTAAATATTGACAAAAAGGAGAATGAAAATCAATGTTTAAAAGAATGTCAGTTCATTCACCTGATAAAAGATAATAAAGTAAAAAAATGTATATGCGAGCAAGACCATAGCTGACTGTGCAACCATAGATATGATTAAAGTTCGTCAAAATTGTAGGTTCTGATTGTCATGTAATAATAAATTGCTTTTTACAAAACTTATGGATTGCTCCTGCATCGGAAATTGCTGACGTTTCGTCAATCATCATGTTGGCTTCTTCAGAGCTTGACTGAAACAGTTCCTCTGAAGAAGCCAACACGATGATTGACGAAACGTCAGCAACTTCGACTAAGCAAAAACTGAGACAGGAGAAATCCAGAAGTTTGGTAAAAAGCATTACAGTAACCTGTGGAAGTTTCTTTGAAAAATTAATATTAAATTCCTGACTGATGACGGATGCCATAGATAAATCTTAAACTGGATTTTTGGACATGGTGGCCATAGACTACCTCAGCAAAATTGAAGTGACAAAGCATGACGCTAGAAGGCGCTAACTGAAATGACGGCAATTTTTCTAGTCTTGCAAGAAATTGTTTTAATCCCCCCCCCCCAAAAAAAAGAATGATGGTACGAAAAAACCTCAAAAGCCAACGAACTTGTATTTTAATTGCTTGTTCTTACACGCTGTTAATGTTGTCATTCAAGGTCAAATAAAAATAAAGTATTAGATATTAATTAATGATTTTGAAATCGCCTAAGGATTATACTTTTTGTAAAAGAACATAATATCGCACGTCGCACTATTACTTATTATTGGGGAAAACGAGTATTGTCTACCAAACTGGGATAACACCGCGAATATTAATAATCGCTTCTTTTGAGTACCAGTCACACAACAAAAATATTTATAACCATAAAAATCTTAAATCCTAATAAGTTTGTTCTAAAAACATGTCAACCCTACAATACAGCCGCCTGTGCGCCGCTGGCTAACCTAAAAAATTGACAAACGTTAATCGAAAGAAGAAACAAAAGAACCGTCACAATCCACAGATTGCAAATCGGTCAGTGGTTTTCGGAAAAGCTTGACGAGCTCATTTTACAAAATCTACGTTTTGTATGTTGGATATTTTGTCGGTTTTAATACAAGCTAAGAGATCTTTTCAAAAAAAAAAAAAAAAACGAATTGCAGGTAGTGATGGAGCTTAATTGCTATGCAACCATTGCGCAGGCAGAGACCTAAAATTCACATTCACATAACGTGTTCGTGTTTTAACATGCAGCGTTCGAAAGTATCAAGAAAAAAACACTCCTTTCGGTTGGACTTTTGTTTGATTGACGCCTTACCATGATTACAAGTGAAACAAAGCACACACATACAACAAACGGAAAGTTCACATCAAATCCATCGCGGTCATGGTTTTCTGACTGAAGAGATCCATAGTGATCGCGCTCAAAAATACCGGTATAGATTTCTGATGAATCAGGTGCAGCTCGATCATGGGACCCAGCTGGGAACTGTACTCGTTCTCCAAAAGGTTCAGATCGCCGTCCGGATTGACCTCGAAACAGAGCTGGTGTTCTGCTCGTTCCGCGTACATACTGCGCAACTTGTAAATGTTCGAGCTTGACGTCTTGTCGATCTTGAACCCGAACAGCATATATATGACGTTTCGGAAATCTTGCATGGACGATTTGAAATAATCCTTCAGCCTCTGGCTCTGTTTCTCGTTACTTTTTATCTGCTCCCGGAGCGCTTGCACCTCCTTCGGACACACTGATATGTCACCCACTTTGCTCGTCTCCACCCCCTCTTCCATTTTCTTCAATTTCGTCTTCAATCGCACGACCTCCTGTTGGAGCTGCTCCACCAACACCCCCCGATCGGCGAGGGCACCCGCCAAAGGGTTTTGATTCAGATGTACCACCTGACCGCCCTGTAAAGTATCCTGGCCCTCCAACATATTCTCCAATCGGATTTCTAAACTATCTTTCTGCTGACGCAACACGTCGTTTTCCGCTCTCAGCTTGTCCACGGTATCCTGCAACCTGGAAATCTGATCCTGCTTAACGGGCACGACGTCGCTGTTGGGCTGGGAAGCTAGCAGATCATTTTCCAGCTTGGTCACCATATCGCGATACCCTTCGAGTACTTTCTCTAGATTATCTATACGTTCCTTCTGGCTTTGGACGATATCTGCCCCACTCCCGGCGATGGTCAAGTCGCGCTCGTACGAGTCTAGTTGGAGGCGGTAACTGTCGCGTTCTCGGGTCACCAACATGAGTTTCTTCTGCATGCGGTGGATTAGCATTTTCTTTTGCTCGCCGGTCACTTTGAGCTCCTTGAGCAGTTTCTGAGTCTTGTCGAGCTCCGCCCGGGCGACTTTCGCGGAATGGGTCGCCGCCTGCAGTTGGGAATCGAGCTCGACCTTTTCGGCGGTAAGGGCCAACTCCTGCTGCTGCAAGCGTTCGACATTGGTGCGCAGCAGATGTGGTAACGCGGAATCGCAGTCGATAGCTTCACAAATTACACGCGCGACCGCCCTCCACTCATTCAAGTGCAGCTGGTTTTGGTTGTTTTGTGCCTGCAGTTCGGCTAGCTCGCGTTCCACGTCTTTGAACTTGACCAGGCGCGTTTTCAAATTGTGAACCTCCTCCTCGAGCAAAATCTTGTTCCGGATATCGTCCCTGATCCTGTTTATATCCTCCAGAAGTCTCGCGTTTTCACGTTCGAGTTCTGGATAGCGAGCCAACTTTTGAGCTTGTGACTTGGCCTGTTCTTGGAACTCCAAGTAGTTCTCCTGCGCGTTTTCCAAAAATCTGATCTGGTTTTTGGCTTTTTGCAACGCTACCTCTTTCAGGTCCAGTTCTCTCTCGATCGCGTTTTTTTCCGCCAGCTGCCTGCTCAGCTCTGACGCCAGTTTTTTCTGAGACTCGGCGTCTTCTTCAGCCGCCTTCAAAACGGACTCGAGCTCGGCCACTCGTCTTTTCAGTTTCGATGATTCGATGTTGTCCTCAAGCTGTGAGTTTTGCGTTTCTTCCTTGATGACCGATATGTCTCTTTGTAATCTCAAAATTTGCTCTTCGCTGCTTGATTTGAGCTGTTCATATTTTTCTTTCAGTGAGGTTACATCATTCTTGAATTGCGATTCCCGCTTCCGAACGATCTGCATCTGCTGCTCGAGTTCCTCGATCGATTTCCTGTCAATTTCCTGCTGCCGTTTCAGAGTCTGGGTTTCGCTCTCGAACACAAGCTGCATCTCTTTGCGTATGTTGTGCATTTGAGATATGCGGTTTTCTAGACAGAGGATTACGTTTCGCGCTTCGACCAGTTCGGCACGCATACGACGCATTTCCCGCGGCGACCCAATATAAGAGACGTTCATCACGTCTTGTTTTATCCGTTTCACGGGCACCTCGTCCACGCTGTTGCTGTCGTTGGAATTCTCGCTGATCGATCGTTTGAGCGGGGTAGACTGATAATCCCCGTTTTCAATCCTAGACGTTCCCGCCTGAAGGTCGTTAATCATTTTCACGATGGTTTCGTTCACCTTTTGGCTCATCGTTTCTTCGATAGTCGTCTTTATTTAAATTACTCATTCATTTCACTAACCAGTTAAATGTTGCTGTACGTGAAAAGGCGTCTGGTCTGGATTTAAAGTATAAGATGGTATGTATATTAAAATAACCTAGAAGAAAAGTAGTACCCAACAAAAACTAAGCTTTATTTTGTTCAGAATGCCGAAACCATAGAACGTTTGGCCGAACAACGTTGAACTTTTCATAGTCTGTCAGGACGAAAGGGCAAAGATAACGATGCCAACGATACGAGGTGGGTAGGATTACCGAGGCCATACGCCCAAACACTGTAATAAATATTAAATCGACGAAAAAAATGTATTTCTTTTAACTTTCATGACAATGCAATTACATTCTTAACCTCACTGACATGCAGATCAATCTTAATTACGCAAATCGAGCAACATTAAACTATTCGAGAACTGCGGCAGTCATCTTTTCAAACAGCTGTGACCCCACCTAGACCTGGCCAAATGAAACGGAGACAAAGATCTTTTGCATTTTGCGCACAACATCGCCGGTTCCATTTTATGAAGCTCGCTCAAGTGCGCGACAAGCAGGTCCAATGTTTCAAAGCTGTCCATACAAAAGTTACAACTAAAGGATATCTGAGGTACTAAACTTGGGTCGTTGTCCGGGCTGGAAGGATCGAAATTTCTCAGCTGGTTGAAGTAATTTTTGAACTTGCTCGAGGACGCGAAATGAATTAAGGACGTCTCCATCCTGGGGATTACCAGTTCGGTATAGCCCACGTCATCCCTAGATGCCGCCCTAAAGTAAAAAAAAACCAAGTCACCTAGCGCTTGGAAAGAGAGAAAAAAAAGTAAACCTACACTACTTTTGCAACCTAAAAAACAAAATACCCATTCTGCTGGGGATGCGCTAAAATTGCGAGATTTCGCAAACAAAAAATAACATTTTCTATTGGGTTTACTAAGAATGCACAAACTTACGAAGGTGGAAGAAAAGATGCCTTTTTTTCGCTTTTATTTTTAATTTCAATAATTTACGTGCGTAAAAAAAGAAAAAAAATACCTTCGTTACACCCACATACGCGTTATGTACAAATACGACAGCTGAAAATAATACAAGATACTTTGAAAATAATCACTTAATCGCAAAATGGCACACCGAAAAAGAACGCATGTAACAGGGTGGCGGGTAGAGAAGGACACTTGGCCCAATATCGAACAATAATTGTAAACAGAAGATAGCGGAAATAATTTTTAAATTCTGTCAAACCGATTTAGAATCTTATTTCTCCGCTAGAGGTCGTTTCGTAACATCATAACAAACTTAAAGGTTATCACTTTTATTGTCGCAAAAGATGGCCAAATATGAGTTTGACACGCTAGTGCAAATAAATAAATGTTGCATCTTGTGAAATATTATCAGTGTAATTTTCATTTCTTAAGTAATATATATATATAAATTTACTGTTAAAATACAAAAATACTCAGTCCCATTCATCAAAAAAAATCGAAATTTTTGAAATCCAAGTGGACTTTGGAAAACAAAACAGCAAAAATTATAATGACTTTGTTAAAGTGCCAATCATGTTAAGGTTAGATCTATAGGTAGTCTATTTTAAGGGCCTTATTTGTGAAAAAGTGATTTGCATTAAAAATCAAAGATCTTGGTGTTTTGTCAGTGTTATTGTTCAATCATATGGGAATGAGTGTTAATTAAATATAATGTTGGCATTTTAAAAGTGAAGTGTACTTAATTAAGGTATCCAGAACCTATTGCCAAGGATATTGATATTATTTTGTTTTATTTCTTTTACTAATGTTATAAGAGACATCAAAATGGGATCTTCACTGGCGTATTTGAGACGTACTGGGCTATTTTATCAAAAAAGGATGGTATTAGTTCATTAGTTTTTTCAGCCCAAGTACTTTTCGAACAATGGCCGAGTGCCCTTCTGAACTGACCACCGGGTACACCTACATTGCAGGCACAAAGAAAACTTCCGGAAAAAAAAAACTGGCAGGCAAAGCAAAACTCGGGGCCCACTTGAGGCTCCATACTTACGGAGACTGCTGTACCGTAAAAAAAAAAGAGATCGCGAATGAAAAAGGATCACTTTTTGGGGCACGCGTGACTCCATCGCGTTTTGGACAGATTAAAGGCGGAAAACGACTTTTTGCACGACACGCATAGCATCGGCTGTTCCATCTTGTGGAGGTCTTTCAAGTGGCAAGCTAACGTTTTGATACTTTCGTAACGTTCCGAACAGTACTCGCAAGTGAACGTTATATTCGGTTGCACATTTTCTTTACAAGCAGCAAGCCCTTTAAGTTCATCAATATAGGCTCGAAATTTATCCGGCGCCGATAACGAAACTAGAGCCGTTTGCATTTTCGGTATTATCATTTCCGTAAACCCGATGTCGTATCTAGAAGGTGCCCTAAAAGAAAATCCCAGTTTCCGAAGACGAGGGAAATAATGACAAACCCTACACCAAGGCGGTAACTACACGGCCCGACACATACAAACTCACAAATTGAGAAATCCTAGAACAGAAGGGACAAAAAAGTCTCTCGTAACCTATAAGCCAACAAATTTTAACTTAGTTTTAACCTCTATTATAGGACTGCTAAATTCGTAGGAAATTTTTAGGGTTCCCTAATGTTTATCCAACATATCCATATTTATCTTAGCCTCATTATTACTATTTGTTACAATACATTAACAGTGATTCAATCAATGTTGCCAATTGTTTAAATAAAACAAACAAACAATAGAAAAAAAGAATAAATAAAAGCCACTAACCAAGTTTTTGAGCATAATTTTACTTTTTTTAAGTCAGATAAACCTAGGGTCACCTAAAAAAGTCAAAATTGTTTATTCATCTCATACCCTTTTGAAAGTTTTTTGTTCCTAAAGTATAGGTGACCTCCAATATTGAACAACACAAATGTATTGGAAGCCATTGTCACCTTTTCATTTACTAGGACATTTATCTCTTCTATGTCCGCAAGAAACTCATCAAAGATCACTTGAAAAGCATCGATAACGGGCTTAGATTTCTGCAACGCGAGACCAAACCAAAAATATTGTGTTGAAAAAAAATATATACACGGGACTCACTATGACGCAACTAAATGCAGCCAATAAATCTGTAAGCATTCGTCTGAGGTAGTCCAAGGTATACACCTGCCGCTCTTCAGCTTGATCTATGATCCCAATCTCCTCGATAAGTTTAGGGTGAAGGTTTGGCAATGCGGTGCCCACCACACTGATGTGTCTGGCAATTTCATGCAAGTTTTTCCTAGAGAAACTAAACACGGGACTCGAAAGATGCACACCAACGTTTGGCCACGTAATTATCTGCCTAACAGTTATGTTTTCGGCAATATTTTGATCCCAGTCCAACACAGAGTGTTGTTTCAATAATATATCGCCTAAAAAAAAACAACTAACTAATCTGTCCACTGGGACAGAAAAAAATATCTACCTTCACTGGTGTCCGTAAACACAATTGTGTTCAATAATAGCGGTTTGCCCGTAACCTCAATTGTAAACGGCGCGAACCCTTTAGGTGCTAAACTATCCGTTTGGCTATTCCTATTACAGATTTTTTTGGTCGCTATCTTTTCCGCGTAGAGCTCGAATCTTTTTTTTCGAATTTCGGCTTGCGCTTGGCCATAATGCAACTCGACGACTTGGCTTAACTTTAACGTAATGTATTTGTAAAATTTCTCATACCAAGCTTTGAACGAAGTCTTGCCAGAATAATATTCGACACTTCTTTGCCAGCCTGGCCACGATTTCACATAATGGACGACCATGTACGGTAAAATGGTAGCCAATTCCGGGTCCAGTTTATTCAGCGGAATCTGCAGTTCGCGTTTCAACATTAAATTTAGCACTTCCAAATCCAAATTCACCTGTTTTCGGTCCACGAGAGCAGAGAAGCACTTCTTTAAGCCGGAATTTTTGGCGATCACGCTCCTGCTCGGTTTTTCGACGGGTTGTTTATTAGCTTCCCCCGAAGTGGTTTTGGACATTGTTGTCTCGCTAACGGTATCTTCCATGTGGTCTAATTTTGTTTTAAGCAAGACCGGCTAATTCGTTGTCGGTTGTCTATTTTTTAATGGGTGACAACAATAAACGGATAACCTCATTCAAATGGTTTTGACCTGGCCACAGAGTAACAGTAACACTATAAAGTTTTGTCACAGACATTGACGTTGTCGCCACAGAACACTGACATTAGCGAGTGAAACTGGCGAGGGCGCGTCAGTTTTGAAATTTACCAATTTATTAACCCGAAAAATGGCCAAAAGAGGCACCATACCCCTGAGAAAATCGATCCTAAGACGCAGCAGAGCGCCGCCGGAAAAACGCGTCGTACCCGAAGAAGATGATTATCAGCGGCTCAGCGCGTTTATAGAAGAGATAGAAAATGCGAGCTCTCTATTGGCGGCACCGCGGCAGGGGAAGGATAATCGCCGAGATGCACCTATCACGGAAGAAGATAACGATGTGTCACCGGAAGCGCTTTGCCGCGATATCCTGCAGGAGGTGATCATTTTTCTATCGACGCTAGTCATATGTCGTCTTCTTTTTGTCAGTGGCTGACCGCGTAATGGGCCTCCAACCAAATACGTTCATTAAATGGGACTTTTGATATCGATCAAACTCTAGTCCCCTGCCTAATTAATAATTGCACGTAGATTGTGGAAACTGAGTTTAAGGAACAGGCGCTAGAGCGTGAAACCAAACAACGTCCAGCTGATTTTAAAGACTCCATGGTCGGTTTTCGAGGTATCAACGAATCAAACATCCAGCCAACCAGGTTAGTTTTAAATCATTTTCAGATTCTACTGGACCCCGAATATCGAAGGCCCCGAGTAGAAGGACCAGAAAGTCCAGTGTTGCGTTTGTGAGGATTAAAAATGGTAAAACAAATTTTTAATTATTGTTATTAAAAATGGCGGGAACGGTTTAATTTTATCAGATCAGGAGCTGTTGCCGGAAATGCCCTCCGGTGAGTACGCGCTCTTGTCCTCCGACCTGCGTCATCTCTTATGTTATTTATTCCGAATCTAAGCGTATTCGTCCGCTAAGAAAAGCGTGGAAGGCAGATACGTTATTTCGTACGACGAGTTAGGGCCGAGGGTGTTGGGGCAATCGATCAAGAGCGAAGACATGTTCTTTGCTTTAGACACGGACGACAAACCTCTGACATTCTTCGACTGTAAGTAGGCCTGCGCAGCCTTTTAGGTGTTTATCTATGGTACGTGTTCCTGGTAAGACCTTGATGATGGCGAGGTGGAGGAGGAGGCAGCGGCCGCCGTTGAAGAGGATTGGGTTTTGGACCGCGAGCCTTACTACGAGCGCCACGATAGCATCGCTGCGCAAAACGCCATATTCAGGGCGCGCAATTTTCTCCTACAGAAGAAGTTGGCCATGTTTTTTAAGAGGAAAAAGGCGAGTATTGCCACGTCCGGCAATGTAGCGTTTTCACGCGATCAATGGTCTCGCAGCAAACGTGCCAATGTTTATTACATTATAATTATGGGCTATAAATCGTTGTCTCAGTTCACAATTGACGCAATATAGCTGCTAACACGTTCAATTCTTTCGAAGAGCTTTATACGTGTTTACTCATAATCGGTCCCTTACAAGAATCGAAAACTTAATAGGATTGCCTAATCCGCCTAATCTGTCCGCAAGTGCAATGCGAAAAATTTTGTGTTGAATTTAATTTGTTACTCAAGACAAAAAAAAGCCTAATAACTCATTTTGTAAGTCTCTTTCGTAATCATTTTCAGTAAAATGAACTGAACAGACATAGCTTTTATCCGGATTAAGTTTGTAATCTCTTCTGCATCGAACTATCCACTTGTCCCCAACAGTTCGGGTTACTAGATCTTTCCCTATGGGAAAGCGATGCAAACTACATTTTCGAGAACTTGCTTTTAAATAAAAATAGTTGTTATTGCACCCATACATGGCACACCTCGTTCCAGGCATACCTAACTATTTTTTGATGTAACTTATCCCACTGAAAAAGGTAAAAGGAATTTATTTCTTACCTTTACCTATATTATTATGTGTAATATTTTGAGCTTACCTCCTAACTAATAACACCGCTAATAAGCAGCACAAACACAAAACTTTTGTCTTTATTTAAGGTTAAAAATACTGTTTTTCTCCGTTCTTGCCACTCAAGCACATACAATTTTAAGGTATATGTTGAAGCTTAAAAACACTGTTTTGTCCAAGTTTTTTTTTTACAGAAATACAATTAACACAAATATAAGCGAACTACTCACTAGTTTAAATTATTTTAATTGTTCAAAGAATACAAAAAATACAACGGTTTAATACGCCTTCAAATGCATTCACAGAATACACAAAAACCGTTAGAGGAATTCGCTACGTCACAAGCGACCACGTGCGATCGATAATTTTGGCGAACGTATGTCTTATGGGATTGGGCAATCCTATTAGGTTTACGATTCTTGGGTTACCGATCCGAGGTCTGTGTCTCTTCTTCTTTTTTTCCCCGGGACCTCTGCCTAAACGCTGGGTTTTTAAGATGGACCACTCGGTGACCAGGGAGACGGACTGGTCGTACGACGCGGAGATGAAATATCTCCGGATACTGGAAGCGTACGGCGAGCTCCTCGACTACGAGGCGACAGAGAAAGAACGCGCGGCCGCCGCAATATCCGCGACGCGTCGAAAACGACACGAAAGGTCCGACGCGCTCGACGAGCTTTTCAGACGAATGCGCGACCGCGAGGTCGAAGTCGGCGCCGGCCTGATTTATACTAAAACCGGCGCAGTCATACCGGATAAGGTAACGTCCTGCTCCTCTTTTGCTATTTTTTCATTTCATGTTTCGGGCAGCTCGTCGAGCGTCTCCTCCGACGTCAGAGTTACCAGATGGAGCAGGTATGTTCGATGCGGCTCCAGTCGATCATACTGCGGGACGCCGTCCAGGAAAAACTGGATGCCATATCCGAGATCGACAGGGTCGCGCCCGGCTTATTTTTGATAGATTACGAGCAACTGAAGATCGACAACAGGAGCCACGCCGACAAGATTGAAGAAGAGGACGAGCTGCTAGCCAGGTTGAGGGACAAATGCACGAGCACGATCCAGGTATTAGCGCACCTGCGGGAAAAGTCGTCCGCGTTGGAGAACGACCTCGCAGTTTTGAGGTCGGAACGCAGCGCCGTCCTGGCCGACTACGCGAAGGTAACCCGCTTCTCCGCCATTTTTTTAGTTAGTTGCGGCAGTTCGGCAACGTCGCAAACGAGATTAAAGCTTGGTCCACACAGAAGCGAAACATGCTATTCTTCGCTTTTACAACCGACCCCGTGATTTACATGGCCTACTACTTTTTACAAAACTTTTGGATTCCTCCTGCGTCGGTTTTTGCCGAGTCGAATTTGCTGACGTTTCGCCAATCATCCTGTTGGCTTCTTCAGAGCTTGACTGAAACGGGCTCGCATTTTATTCTGTACCTGTTTATATATTGTTTGAAGGGGGCATAAACACCATCTCGGATGACTGTTGAGTCATCATATTGAGTCGCGGTTAAGATTGAGGTTGTTTATAGATTTCTATAGACTCACGGATTTTTCGTTGGTAGAAGAACTGATTACATGTAAGAATTTTAGTTTCATCGAATAAAATTTTATGTCCGGTTTCGTGATTGTGTTCGGCAACAGCTGATGAGATTATTTGTCTTAATCGTAAGGCTCTTTCGTGTTCTTTGAGCCTAGTTGATATTTTTGCATATGCATGGAATGCTGTAAACTTCTGGCATCTCAAATGGACTTTTGTCTTTGACAGACCGAAGATATTGAAAGATTTTTGGACAAGTGGAAAATCTGGTTTTGACGTTATACTTCTTTAGAACTTTTGATATGTGGTCAGTGATGTTTTGAATGTAAGGAAGGATCACAGTGGCAAGTGTAGGATTGCTTTCGGGCTCATTGTTATTGAAAGGTGTAAAGTGTATTTTTGTATAATTTTTGTTTTAGAAGAATGCTCTCGACACCTTTCATCTAAAACTTTAATTGTTTTATTTATTTTTATTTATTTATTATTGTTACTTGGCCTCATGGTTAAGAAACTCTAGTAGATTTTCTTAGACATTTAAACTCTATACACCCTAACATACGTTTTACAAAAATTGAACTGAGGTGGCTTTTACTTGATGAAAATCCATTTATCAAAATAAAAAAGAACTAATAGTTCAGATTTTCAGGAAATTATATATTTTTACATGACAATTGTTTCAACACTGTGTTTTTATCAAATGTAATATTTACAAACTACCTGCTACTACATATACCGAAAAATGACCATAAAACCTTAATTATTGTTGTTGTGAGAATTTAAGTTCATTAAAGGAGAAGTATTTAAATCTAATTGATCGTTAAGCAATATATTTGAATGTCTGATTTTTTTGATCTCCATGGCTTCCCATAAATTTAATTTTCTACTTTTTGTGGCTGTATGTAAAATATAAAAATTGTAGTCAAAAATGTGTTTTTCTGTGTTTAAGTGTGTAACATAATTAGAATCTATATTATTGTTTTTAAACGCTCTTTTATGTTCGTTAATGCGTTTCTTGAAGGACTACCTGTTTGTCCAATATAAATTTTAAGACAAGAACCGCATTTCAACCTGTAGACACCTGATTTTTGAGATTTTGGACATTTCGTTTTATTGTTTTTTAAAAAATTTCCTATTGCGTTGTTAGTTCTGAAAGCTATTTTCTTTTTTAAATTACTTAATCGTATAAAATTCACTATCGAGATTGAACAACTCTATTAATTTTTTAGACTTAACTATTACGAAAGCGCAAAACAATTTAGATTTTTCAATTTATTATAAACCGTCACACACGGACACAGTCATACCTAACAGCTCAAATCGACATTATACAAACAAAATGGCTGCTGCATTTCACTCTTTTATACACAGACTTCTTAATACGCCACTCTCAACAGAAAATTACAACAAAGAACCTAATATCATTAAACAAATTGTACTGAACAACGGCTACAATCCGTCCATTATAGATAAAAAACCAATCAAAGACAACCTAATCCAGAACACGAACAATTTAAAACAGTTATATACATAGGAGAACCTAGTAAAACAGTTTCAAAACATTTCTCAAAATGTGGTTTAAAAATAGCCTCCATATGACAAAACAATAAACAGAATTGAGAGTCTCCACTCTACATAAACTGCGAAGAATTTTACAATTTCAATGTACAAGCGTGCTAACAAACTTGTACATTGAAATCCCGCGTTGCAAAGCATCTTAGTTTTACTTTCATTTGGTATCAATTGTTTGATTTGCTCAATAGTGGCTAAATACTAAGTTGCTTAGACGATGCTGCAGAAAAAGTAGAAACTGCATCGTCCGCAAAAAGGGAAAAGTAAGTTTGGCGGGAAACAAGAGAGAACGTCTTTTATAAACACTATAAACAATAGAGGATCGAGTAAACTTCCCTGTGGTACACCGCAATTCACCAATTCCGTACGAGACGCAAGAAAAGACCTTAACCAATTTAAGGCGTTACCTCTAATACCAACAAAGTTTGTCTACTTAAATATCAACATCGACCAAGTCAAATGCTCTTTGTAGATCGAACAAAACACATGCTGTTTGCTGCCTTTTAATTTGTCAAGAATATGCTTATAAAGAGAGAATAGCATCCTGTGTTGATCGCTTTTCTCGGAAACCAAATTGCGTGACGAGAAAAAGGGAAGTTTGCTTTGATCACGCCATTTGCAAATAGTAACAACGATCACATTACACACATCAACGATCACATTATTAGTTGGTTAGATAATGGTCTTGCGACTGCACTTATATCTTTAGATTGCTCTAAAGCCTTTGATCGGCTTGACCATAAACTTACGTGCGCCAAATCGAGTTCGACTCGATTTTTTGAAAACTGCTTGACAGTGTAAGTTCCGAATTCCTCCCTGTTCATCGGGTGTACCGCAAGGTTCTGTCCTTGGACCTATATAATTCTTAATTTATATTTCTGATATTTATACATCCATCGAATATTTGAATTTGCATTCATTTGTTGATGACACTCAGCTATTTTACTCCTTCGATCCTAAATTATCTGATATTGCTTCAATTTATATCAATTTCGATTTGCGTAACTTATTTCTATATTCTTCTAGGCATAATCTTCAACTTAATGCTAAAAAATGCAGTGCAATGTTCTTTTTTCCTAAACCTAACATTGAACAAGTAATAAATATTATTATATATTTGATTAGATTCGTGGGATATATATCTTTGTTGGTGAAAAAGTCTTATTTGGTTTTGCGCCATTTATACAGGCATAGAACTGTCCTTAATTTCATTTTACGGAAACCTTTAGGTCAATCACTTGTCCTTTCGATTATGAACTATGATTGTGTCCTCTATTACCCATGTCTTGATATAGATTGCAAACGATTCAAAACAGCTCTTGCAAATTTATTTTCGTCTTGCGTAAAAATTCCAGGAACTTAACTGGCTAGAAACTGACAGTACTTTCAAGTATTTTTTTTAAATTACAGTTTCGTAATGTTCAACTAAGGCATCCATTCCGACTCTCACTGCCACGATATCGTTTATCTTTGTTCCGCAAGACATTTTTTTATAACGCTGTTGTAATGTTTAATAGTATAAAATATTCAGTAAAATCACATTCAATTAAATTCTTTAAAAAATATTTCAGGCTGGAACTGCCAACTTCTCAAATAATTTGGTTTTCAATGTTATTCTTGTTATTTTTACTTTTAATAACTTTCTGTTGTTCCATATTACTATTACATTTATCTATTATACTATATTTAATTTATCAATGTATTTACAACTTCTTGCTTAGTTTTCAGTTTTAACATTTAAGAGGTTAAGTGGAGTAGCTTTTGCTAAAATTGGCCTCTTCTCCACTGTATATCTGTATATAACAATATACAACAATAAAAACAATTTATTATTATTAAGTATAAAGCAAACATAAAAAAATCATAAATACAAAAAATGTGGTTCTTGATGCGGCCTGTTTAAACGAATTAGATATATTTTTTGAAATGTTGAAATAAAAGTTATAGTCCGCATTTTTCACAGTCAAAAATTTTGCCGATCAGACGTTTTTGAGAAACCATTTTTTTTTGAGGACGCCAAAATAATCTAATTTTTTTTTCCAATTTTTCAGTTTCTTCGGTATAGATGTGGGTACGGACTTTTATATCTTCTCTATGTTTGAAGTCGATAATTGCGAATTTGAGACACCTACTACATTTTTTAATAAAACACAGAATATTTAGAACATCCTGTATACAAAACTTAACATTTTCGAGAATAAATTGCAAGCGCGATTTTTAATTTTTTTAAAATTACACATTTCATGAAATAAGTTACCATTTTTTAGTTTTTGCTAGTAATACGTAATAATATATGTACATATGTATGCAATATGAAATAATAAGAAAACAATCTTTTTACTTCGTTTTATTTCGTTTTAATTAAGAAAACAACCAAATTCCTTTGCTAATATAATATGAGTACCTTAAAAAATAATGACACCATCGCAAGAAGTATTTTTTAGAAAAATTATAATATTCGAAAAACTGTTAGGTTTAGGTATGAATGTAGTATTATTAATAGAACAGAATTTCAATATCAATTAAAAACGAAATTTAAAAATAGGGTGTTCTATTTCAAAAATATGTATTTTATTCGTCGTTTCTTTTTTCAGCCACTCTGTATACTCTAGAATCATTTTAAATTGTAACATAAATTGTAGGTCATAAAATTATGTACAACAAATTAATGTAAAAAAAATGCCTAGTTGTATTCTAAGAATATGTTCTAAAAAAAAACAAATTGTTAGTCAGTCTTTTGCTGTAGTACATATTTTGAAAAAATATCAGATTTGGACTAGAATTTTGAAACTTTTAACCTGGTTAAAGCCAAATTAGCTCTTTATCATCATAGATGACGTTGCCAAATTTCAACAAAATCGATCAAAAAGTATTTAACATATTGTAAAAGATGAATTTATGTTATTTTGAGAATAACAACGAAACAATAACAAATTAAAATTTAATTGAATTACATACTATCTGCTTAGCATACATTGTTTTTTTTGCCCATGCAGATCACAATTTTAAAATGAAAATTGGTAGATGTTTCCGACGGGGAAAACATCTCCTAAGTTGATGTAGAAACTACGTTCGTTAACGAATTCGGATTATATCCGATTTTTTTCCTGCTCGGCACAACAATTCAACTTTAAAGTCATTAATAGATAAAGAAGATGAACAAATTGGGTACCCAAACCGTATACACCCCAAAAAATGAAGTTTTTAAGGTGGTTTAAAAAATAACAAACAACATTTTTTTGCTATTATAGTTATTATATTTCTCACTTGGTCTCGTCGTTTTTCAGGTAAGAACGAACATCGAACAAGGCTCCACGGGACGTCTAAATTCAAATTATCTATTGATTGAAATAGAGATTCTTGATAGATTTACGTCTACCGAGCTGATTGTAATAAAGCGAGCAATATGGATTTTTATGCCTCCAAATTCGTCTCGTTTCAAAACTTTCCTAATGCACAGCAATAAAACCATTAAGACAACCTTTTAAACTACCTAACACTCTGTATCGTTTATACGGTTGGAAATTTTCGCACCCTGCACCAAATCACCACCCATTAAGTGGATATTAAGGATGCATTAGGTGGACATTAAGGTCGTTTCAAATATGAAATATTTAATTACCTTAATCCCCTGTGCAAGCGAGCGTTTTACCACCCTTGATCGTTCCTGGTACTATCCGTTTAAATTACCCTCCAAGTTCCGTCGAAATTATCACAAACCCTACAGGGTGTTGTCCCTACCCAAATTGCACGAGACGTCCTCGGGATATCCGACGGGACATAGCGTATATCCTAAGGGACATCCTTAAGACGTCTCAAGGATATACGATGTTACTAATTGGAGCGTCCGCAGTATATCACATACGTATGTCCGTAGGATGTTTGTTAGGACATACTAGGGATATCCAGTTATACTGGTTAAGACGTCGTTAGTATATCCGGCTGTGAGGATGTAGGATCTTATATAGATATACTAGTGGACCTTACTTATTAGGTTATTCTGAACAGGTTATGTCCAGTAGTTAAATTGGTTGTACGACTACAAAAATTCTATCCCTGCATTCCCAATTAATACTCAATCTTTAATTTTGCTTTTGATGGTAAAATTGAAGGACTGCCGATTGATACACACACACACACACACACATCTGTTTTTTTTTATATTGTAAATATGAAAAAATTGTGGGTATATAATATAGAAAAAATATAGAACCACCTAACCTAAAGTATCTTAAAAATAGAGTAAGTATTTGTAAGTATTTTAATATTTGACAGGTTTTCTATCATTTTTTGATGAAAGTAGCTTTTTCCAGCCAAGCAACTATTGAATTCTCACATTCTTTTGATGTTTGTGATGTGTTTGCCTACTTATCTGCATCTGAAAATATTTTAGTTTTAAGAAAGACAAGTTTTATATATCTGTACTTAAAAAAAAAACAAAAAGAGCGAGACTGGTATCTTTAAAAAAAAAACTGCACAATTCTAAAAAAAACTAAGTATTTTCCTTCTCATTTGTTCAAAATTTAACTTTTTTTCTATTCTAATGTTTTCATTATGGCGCAAGGGGATATCCTCAGGCCATCTATTTAGAGGATATCTGTGGTATATCGTGTACAGTAAATCCGCAAGCTATCCATTCAGAGGATATCCCTCGGATGTATTTTACAGTATATCCTTAATATACAGGGTTTTTCACTTAAAACTCCGCACGCCAATAAGTCCAAAACGAAAAGAAATATTTAATTTATGTAAAAAGTAGTCAAAGTGTGGGGTCAAGTAGATATTTCCTAAAGTTTAAAAAATTCGACGCCTGCAAAGAGCTGGGCGTCGCGACGCGTCGAAAAATTATTCGATTGCAGAGACTTTGGAAATACGCGCATACAAAAGTACATATTATTTAAAAACTTTTTTTTTATTTACTCAAACTTATTTACGTTACCCGTTTCTAAGTTATACCGATTTAAAGTAAACATTTCTTGATTAATAAAAAATGTGATTAACGCTTATTTTTACAAGTATGCCATGAATGTTAGTTACTATGACAACCATTGTTATCGCAGTTGTTTTAAGTGCAACTATTTTAGTATGATTTTATTTATTATTTTTTATTGATTTAGTTCTGATAACATGATAAATAAATGAAAAAACAGTAAAATACCTACAAGTTAATAACCAAAATTATTATTGCAATTAACTACATAATAAGACATTTCAAGAATTTTGTTCAAAATTATGTCCATCTGCTCGAACACAACTATCAAAAACTTTTAACAGATGAGCTTGGGTCACTTGTAGGAGAGTCCTTCTTGTGATAGCGGCACACGCTGCACTAATTTTGTTAATGAGATCAGCCATATCTTCGATAGGTTCTTCATAGATAACGTTTTTTAGGTAGCCCCAAAGAAAATAATCTGGTGGTGTAATGTCCGGGGACCTCGCCGGCCACCTTACCGGTCCATTAGTACCAAACCATCTATTGGGATATTCTCGGTTCAAATACCTCGTTACTATTTGGGCATTATGTGCAGGCGCTCCATCCTGCTGTAGCCACATATTCATTCTAGTGTCAAGAGGCACTTCTTCTAATAGTTCCGGAAGTGTAGTTTGAAGAAATGTTTACTTTAAATCGGTATAACTTAGAAACGGGTAAAGTAAATAAGTTTGAGTAAATAACAAAAAAGTTTTTAAATAATATGTAATTTTGTAAACTTTAGGAAATATCTACTTGACCCCACACTTTGACTACTTTTTACATAAATTAAATATTTCTTTTCGTTTTGGACTTATTGGCGTGCGGAGTTTTAAGTGAAAAACCCTGTATATGCTAACGTATATCCATGTCCCGGGACATGCGACTTAAATGGGACATCGACCGGATATACTGGGGATATTGTGTGCTATCTGAGTAATAAGCCGAAATGCTCAACTTTTTTTTCTCACGACTCGCAGGTCAGGGAGGTGTTGAACGGCGCCAAAAGGCGTCGCGACGCTTACCGAACCGCTACGGAAAAGATCCGCATGGAATCGGGTCTGCTGACCGAGCCGACCCTCCTGAGAGACATGGAGGTGAGTGTGGCCGACCTGGAGGCGTCCAAGACGCGTCTGACCGCCATAATCGGTGAATACGAGCGCAAGATGCAACTCACGAGGGAGTTGCGGGCGAAAATCAAAGTCAGGGGCGGCCGCGAATCGACCTCGAAATTGGAGTCGAAACGTCGCGGCCTGTGGAAGGGCCGACCCATGGAACATGGTGCAGGGCAGTGTTAGGGGGGTGACGCTTTACATGTAGTTTTACGTATTATTATGTCTACGTTTTTGTGTTGAATAAAGGCGTGTGTATTGCGCATGTCGCTGCGTTTATTATCGTCGAACCCAGCTGTCCCACGTCAGGGATGATTCTAGCCTTCATTCAAAAATTCCGAATAAAAAACATTCAACCAAAATTTATCATTTTATTTGGGGGAGTACAGGGGAAAAAAGATGAGGGTCCAAAAAACTTAATTTCGAGTAATTGTGATTTTTATTTAGGAAGACTATTCGAGAACATGGTATACCTGAACTAAAATACTTTTTGGCAGATTATACAAAAATTGTATAAATTGTCAATGCAAAATTATAAAAAGGAAACTTAATTAAATTAAAATACAAAAAAAAACTTGGCAATAAAGATGAAGGCCCATAATTTTATTGTAGTCTTATCAATGTGGTATTGCTGTAAAAAAATTCTGCGCTTTTTGAGAACCGAATCATTATAGATGCCGTAAGTCTTGAAGTTTAGCTTTAAATACAAGTAATGGCCCATCATAAGCTAAAGCCGTAAGCAAAAAACACTTTTCAGGTAGCGAAAGTCTTTTTCTTTTTTGTTTTATGACAACATTTTCGAGTTCAGTTAATTCCTTCACCGGTCTTGAAGGAAAAGGACACTTGGGCTCCTAAAAATGGACTGATCTTCACCGGAAATCACTTTAAAAGGGCTTAGTTTTCGGGAATCCCTTAAAACTGCATTCTATTCTTGAGACAGTTTAACGTACATTTTTTGTTTCATTAAACCTATATTTCTATCGCATGTCCACGAACATTAAAAATTAAAAAAATGTGATGCCATAGCACCCTTTTTTCTTGAAACTTCGGCATAAGTATAGAAACGACATGTATGTTGAACATGTAGAACCAAAGTTGTCTACGTAATATGTGCCATTGTAATATTGGGCAGATGAAGATATTTTTGAAAATCCATGACAATAGCTTCCGTGGTTTTGTCTTTTTGAGCCTCAAGCCTGTATAACGTTATACGTTTATAAAAGGTGTCTCCCCTTCGCAGTTCTGTGTGTAACGAGCATGCAATCGTGATCATCTGCAATTTGATTAATTTCTTTTTCAATGTCGTCAATTTTTACTTTTTAATTTTAACTCATCGCATGGGTACCCAAAAGCAATATTAAACTTGGTGTTGGATATTTCTCTATATTTTTCTTAAGAAACTAATTTATCAGGGTATTTTTCTTTGTACATAGAGTACATTTTCTTAATATTGAGCTCAGCAGGTTGTTTTAGCCAAGCCATAAGGAGACTAAAACATCTGTGTTCCATGACCGAATCTGTTATTTCTCTATAAAGTCGGTTGGGTCTGGACGAGTGCTTTCCTCGCATATCTAAAAGCTTTATTGCGTACTGGGATTTCACACTACTATATACATTTTAAATTCGGTTTACCTTTGTACTGTCATCTTTCTAGCCATTTCTTATAGGTGGATGGTACTCTATAGCCGATATATTACACGAAATAACTGTTGTACTATTCATATGATATGTCTGTGACAGGCATTTTTTTTATTAGAAGCTGAATAATAAAAATATCAATTTATAAATAAATAAGATTGCTTTTGAAAAATCGTCGCTGGGCGGGGCAAGCTCGTAGCGCGTAGCTCGAAGCAGCTTAGTATTTCAAAAAAAAGCCGCTAGAGAGTGCTATAGACACGTAATTTTTTCTATCGTGTTAGTGCGGACCACTATGGAACTTTCGATGTAATTCTTCTGCACCCTCTATAAAGGGGCTTACACATCTCGCCTACTTTGATAAATATAAAAAATATTTTTGTATGATATATATTCTGTATGATGAACAAAACTTGAAAGTATCTCTCCACACAATTTACGATACTGTTTAAACCAAATTATGTTTTATAGTTTTTCTTTTTGATATTTTTTTGGTCCGGAAACAGAGGTTATAACCGTGGATCTCCCACGTTCAAGAATTTTTCCATAGACTAAATAGTTTTCGAGAAAACATTTTCTTCTGAGACTATGCAGTACTTCGTAATAGAGAATGATGTCATCGCGCCTAGACAGCCCGATTAATACTGATTTTCAGGGTCTTTTAGATTTTTTCCATAAGTACAACGCCCTGTATAAAATCGAAAAAAAAGTTATAGCGCCGGATTTTCCGCGGTTCAGGGTTCCAAAATTTTGCCGATCGGGTGAATGGTTTTGGAGGAAAACATGTTTTTCTGAGAGCCGAAGTAACCAGAACAAATCAATTTTTTTTAAAAAATTGTTGGTGAAATTTGATTGTATTCAATTTCGACTGTTTTGATGTGGCTACGGACTTTTACTCAATCCATATAGACTTAAATAAGAAGTCAAATATTAATATATTATAATTAATATCGCTGGATTGTCAGTTAGTTATGTCAATCTTTCAGCCATGTGACCTGTGACGTGTCAAATATACAAAACTAAATAAGTAACGTATACAAAATACACAATATCGTCAGCGTAGGAAATTTAGCATATAAAATTTAACACAAGCGCGGAACTTACAAAGTAATAACAACATACTAAGAAAACAAGAATAGCATTTTTTATTTAGCAAAAAAAGATTTTAATATTTTTTTAAAACATTTTTTTTTGGGTACATTTGCTATTTGTTTGTTTGGACCTTGCTATTTTCTTGAAAACCGCAGATGATAATTTTGATGAATGATATTTTTGTTATGATTTTTTGTGTGCACTCTCATAAATATTTCTGCCCCCTAAGACCAAATATGTTAATTACAATATATCTATATACGCTGCATAACTTTTATTTTTTTATAGAAAACAATGTACCTGTCTGCCAGATAATCAACATAAGTGGCCGGTGTGTGTTTTTGGTTAATAAATAAGGATTTTCATTTAACTCGTCAAATTTCCTATACAAATTTGCACCTTGAATTTCGATAAAAATTTTCGCTCATATGTCCGAGATGTTTTTAAACCCAACAAATTAAGTCTAATATCTAATATATCAAGTTACTCGTTTTAACGCCTTCACTTTATGACTCGCTATTAGTAAAAATCCGCATTTTCAATGAAGATCATGTCCAAAAGAAGAACATTCCACAAATAAAACCCAACAATTTAAAAGACCAGCAGCAAGAAATGTTAATAAAAATCACAAAAAAGATGTATAGAACAATATCCACCTATGTATCGCCAATCAAACTAAACCAAGTATTCAATATTCAACAAGGAGAAAAGATAAAACCCAACCCAGCCCCTAGTCGGGGCCAAACCCGGCTAATCACCGGTCATTAACCAATCCCATATTTAAGCGTCAGCCTGGAACTTCATCGGTCAGTGTCAAATGGTTTTAGCACCGACGATGTCGACGCTAAGCTTTGGGACCGGTAACAGCCCCACACGATCTGTGCCTACGCTTACTTGTGACGTAGTACGGTCCGTATGGTGGCCTTTGACGGTCCCGATCGCACCAAAACTTCGAGAGGGAACCTGGTAGTGGCTCCATACGCGAGGTACCTACGTACGAGTCGGATATCGTAGTACTTCCGGTATGGAGGCCGCTGGCAAGTCCCCGACACTTCAGATTCACGTCCAGAGTCGTCGCTACCATAACTGTCACCGTTTCTCTCACACTCGCCGTTCTTACGTGCTTTTAAAACCGTAGTACGGGGAGTACGAAGAGCAAACGAGTATACAGTACAATCGTCGAACTGAGGAGCACGTACGTTCGGTCCTACCTCGCGTACCCTACGTGTCCTAAATAGCCGTAGTACGTGGGGTCTGGCTGCATTTATTGTGCCTCCGATATCATCACAACGGCCGCGATCGCAATAGTAGGCCAGCACGTTTCGCCGAGTTCGCGAAACGACAACCTGTGCGGCGCATAGTAGGCGCCGACGGTCGGGCGTCAGCGTGAGACAAAGACAGGCGGTTGCGTTTATTTACGACGCGGAGTACTTAAATGCGCGCATGCTCGCGCCGACTATCGATCCCAATTCAGTAGGGTTGGTTTAGCAACCCCCAGCTTTAGTAGGGACGGCGTCGCCGACCTTAATAATGTGTGAGGTGAGTGTTAAGTAGCGATGCACGCCAGGTTCGCGATAAGCACACTTAATAGCGGCTACTTACATCGTTAAGTAAGTAAAATTGTAGAGGTGCGACAACTGCGCGGCTTTACTGGTCAAACTCACAAAAATCGGTTCACAGATTATACACTGTGGGTGGGAAACGTTGTGTGCACAAATTACTTTATTGCGTTTCACGTTATGTTGGGCACAGATTATAGATATTCTGAGAAAAAAGAAGGGGCGCTATTTTTCTGAAAAAAATTGAAATTATTGTTTTGGCGTATTTTCGATGCATACTACACCAAAACTTCGTTCAAAACCTAAATTTCATATTTCCGATGAACGCGCGTGCGGGTATACTTTAATATCACAGATAAAAGAATTGTCTTGCTCCTCAGTTTTCGGTGTTTACGTTTGGGGTTAAGATATTGTGCCGTGTTTTGGATATTTTGTTATTTTCTTCTTTTTTTTTTTAATTAGTAGACAAACTGGTGAATGTGTACTTTCCTGTTTGCAGTTTATTAAAAATCGCCTCTTCTTTTTTTTCTTCTTCCTTCTCCTCGATAATTATTTTAAATATAACCAACCAAACCTAAATTAACCAACTTAACAACTAAGAATTAAAAATAAATTTGTTGACAAAATAAATAAGAACTAAAAGTTCAGATTTTCACGAAATTATATATATTCACAAGACATTTGTTTCGACAACTGGTGAAACTTTGAAAACTCTTGTTTAGTGTTTAAATGAAAGCAACATCGTACATAGATTTCCAATTTCCTGCCGGTTTTAAGTATTTTTCTGTTTGCTGTTTAATAAAAATTGCCTCATTTTTCTTTCATTTCCTTTCTTTTCATCGGCAATTATTTTAAATATAACCAACCAAACCTAAATTAACCAAATTAACAACTAACAATTAAAAATAAATTTCTTGGTTGGTTGGTTTGGTTCCACACCTATTATTCATATGTATATATTGTTTATTGTTTGTAATTATTATTAATTAGTATCTATTAAACTATAGGATGATTAGTTTTGGTTAGTTTCAGTTAGTTTCGGTTGGTTTTGCTTAGTTTTGTTTAGTTTTAAGAAAAAAATAACTTTTATGTTTTCTATTTTCTATCCAATATGCGGACGTGGAACATATTTTCGAGTGTGACGAGTGCCTAGCAAAATGACAATAAAATGTCCACGGCGGCCTCAATAAAGTAAAGTATTTTTTGCTTTTTATTTATATGTGTGAAAAAAAAATGGTCAAGTTTGTCAATGTAATATTTTAGAGAATTTTTAGAACCAATTCCACTTTTTTCTTTAAAAAATAAACAATTCACACCACCTACATACGCCACTGGTAAAAATCCACATTTTAATGTTGATATCAATTTATCCGTAATGTATCGGATCAGAACAAACGCCCTGTATAATAGTTTTGTGGCCGAAAATTACCTCTACCGCCGTTCTAGGGCATTCTAAAGGAAAATCTGCGAATACTTCTTACGTGGACTGCAGTGGCGTCTTGTAAAATGTCACATTTCTCAGAAATTTCGTTGCTGTAACGGACCTACTACAAGTTGTTACAGATTTTCGAAAATTAGGACTAAACTAGGATTGTGTGAAGGCCACATTGTTATATACTTTCCCTTCAAAATGGCGTTTGAGCTCGATCCGTCAGCGAGACCTGCAAATATTTGAGGGCGACGTTTCAGGCGATGGAGACGCGTACGCAGCCGAAGAAACGCACCTCCAATTTCCGCGAAGACGAGACCAAACTGCTCATCCAGCTGTGGGGCAGTCCGCAGGTTCAGAACAAACTTTACCTGACCCACAGGAAAGCCCCCGTGATGCGCCTGATAGCTGCGAACATGCAGAAGCATGGCTTCCATCGCACTCCTGACGAGATTAAGACGAGGATCAGGAACCTCAAGTGCTTGTACCACCGGATTAAGAAGTCGACAACCACGGGTACCGGGATAGGCACGGTCGACCCAGACTGGCCCCATTACAAAGCGATGGACGAGATTCTGAGCAAGAAGAACGTGCGCAGGCACGAGCTCCTCTACAAGGAGCAGCTGTTCGGTGACGGCGAGGTCACCATCAAGCAGGAAATTGATGACGTCGAATTCAACGACGAGCTAGAGTCCTATACGTCGAACAGTAACGCGTGAGTCTCTAATTTCTTCTTCTTCTTCTTAAGTTTCTCGGCTTCTGTGCCATACTAATTTCTCTTTGATTGCCCACATTGCCACAATGTCCCGGAATCCACGTTCATAGTATTTCGGTATCATTCTCATTTGTCTCTATAATCATTCTTTATATTTCAAATGTAATAAAATCACTTTTACCGTTAGAGGATTTTTCTACAATCGCGCTTTGCGGATTGTTTTGTAAGTTATTTTTAGTTAAGAATTTTATGGCTAGCCATCTACGTCTATGTTGGGATTGATCTCGCACAACCGAGCATTACACCCAGTGCTTGAAAATTAGCGCCAAATTCTAGATGTGCCCTAACCAAATGATTATTTGCCATCCTAAGGGATTTAGGGTCCGCCCCTTGCAGTACACGACAAAACGTTTTCATAATATTAGTACTTTGGATATATATGAAGAATCACCCAAAAGTATTTTATTGCGTCTATAAACGGATTTTTTGGTTATCTTTGTATATATTTGGTGAAGGTTTTTTGTGAAATATATTGCTTCAGTTTTTTCTGTCGAGATTACTAGGTTATGTTGTTTACACCATTCGTTGATCTCCCTCAAACAATTTCCAGTCGTTTGAGACATTTCTTCAACGTTTTTGCCTTTAATTATTAGTGAAATATCGTCTGCATGTCCTATTATTTGAATTCTATAAGTGGAAGAAGCGAAAAGGTCTCTAATATATATTAAAAAGTATGGTACTCAAAGGTGATCCCTGCGGTAGCCCTGAATTGGCCACCTCTGGGCCTAAAAGCTCACCATTATTTGCCCTACTGAATATTTTTTTCTATTTTATAAAATTTTAAATATTAGATCACTCGAATTTTTATTAATTTGGAGGATTGCGCAACTCGTGACGTCATGTGTCGCAGGTCCGACGACGAGTTCGACGAGTGTCAGCGCGAGCCGCTTACTCCCACTCCGCTGGTCGTGTTGGAGGAGGGGGACCAGGAGAAGATGAAACCGGTGAAGATTGCGCCGAAACCGATAGCAGCGCCGCCGCCGGCGGTGGCGTTCCCCAATATCCAGCTGCAGTCGGCGCAAGGCGGCGGCGGCGGCGCTGCGGTCGCGCAGAAGTCCGGCAACGCCGCGCCGACGATACCTTTTCCGTTGCTGATTTTGAACGGCGTACCGCACGGCACCGGACCCAACCAAAACGGATCTGCGGGAGGCCCGGCCAAAGCGGTCCCAATCTCTGCGGGTTCCCCATTCAATAACGGTAAGGCTCCACAGAATATTAAAATAGCACAGGCCAACAATTTTTAAACTTGATGTCGATATGACATTTTATTCTGTACAATTTAAGCCTCCTACATTTAAACCTGATTTTCTTCTATCACTTAAGGTTTTTTTTATCAACATTAAAAGAATGAATAAAAAAATTAAAAAGAGACTGAATTAAAAAATTTAAATTAATTAACAAAAGTCTCAAACAATAGTCAAGTCTATTTATTTTTGGTATATCTCTCCCTCTTTTTAATGACCAGCATTGCGATGTTCTATCCACCTTTCTTTTATATCGTGGTGGAACCTCCCACCTAGCTCGTCACTCACGGCACCAAGAAATCGCATCTAATGTGAACAGTCTGGATATTTGTTTGTTTAATAGAATACCCTTTACAACATCAGATTCAATCATGATATTTACAAAGATATTCAAAAGTTCTTTTCTTTAATATGCTCCATCTTTGTTTAAAGCTTTAATATATTGCACAATAAGATCAATAAGACTATTGTGAAGAATAAACCCTAACGCAACATCAATCTTTGAAATCCGTACGTTTTTAGTGTCAATATCTCCGTACCATACTCACAAACTCGTATAATTTGTGCTTTGTCCTTTCACGAAAATACAAAAAATATGAGGACTTTATAGGATTTTAAAGAACTGGAAAATAGATTTACACAAATATTCACATGTGAATTTACTAAACACAATTTTTATGTACACTTAAATAGCTACGAGGGATGTTTGGGTAATATGTTTTAATGTACAAGAATTACGAAAATACAAGAAAGCAATTAAGCTACAGGTTTAATTTTTACTAGAACAAGCATAAGAAAGGGGTATTTCTTATTCAATTCAGCTACTCTTATAGGAGGTGCTTACATTTTGAGAAAATACTGCCGTAAAAATGCCGCATCCAAACATCGACGATAAGTCAGCGGCCATGTTGTTTGTTGAAAGCTGTCGGTGGTTAAAAACGAAATTTTTAATCTCGCGCATGCGCAAGTTGAACGGACCTTCTCAAAAAATATTACATACTTACTTCATTAGTTTCTGTACGGTCAGTATAGGCAGGGCCTCTATGCGTCTAGTAGCTATATGAGAGAAACGTAATGGCAAAAGTTGCTATTCAAAAGTTTGTTTTCAGTGATCGAAATTAACAAATAACTATGGTCGGTTTTGTTGTAGCAGAGACGGCGAGGGTTCTACGCGATCTGCTGGAGGTCCAAAAGGAAAACCTCGAACTCGAAAGGGAACGCCTCGAGGTCGAGAAACAAAAACTCGAGTTCGAACGCGTGGTGGGGTCGCAGCTGTTGACTCTCATACCGATGTTCGGCGCCATATTGCAGCGAATGCCGTTCGCGCCTGACAAGGCCGACGAGCAGCCGAAGAAGAACGGGCTGAAACACTCCGACGCGCTGGAGGTATTCAAAGACAGCAAAATCCTGAAGGAGCTGCTCGAGAACGGCCTGCGGAAGTACCTGGACGAGGAAAGGGCGACCAAGGTCGTCCAGGACGCGGGAACAAACGCGTAGGTCCCAGCGCCGCCATTAGTCCTGATTTACACATTCCAAATTTTGTGATTGTATCTTAAGCATCGTTTATTTATTTAATTTATTTCGTATTGTTTCGTTGTTTTCCGTTGTTCATCGTATTTATTTCAATAAATATAAATTCATTTTTATTTGTGTTTGAAATCCCCGCAAAATAATAAAGATTTTTTCCGTGCAGTTTCTAAAGGCATCCATCATAACATTAAAGAAGCCACAGACCACCCGTCCCATAAGCGATGTTGACATAAGTTCTTCGATTCAACGAAAGCATAAAAAAATGTCACCGACGTCTTCTTTAGTTTTCGTTGATAAATATACCACGATCATTCGGCCAGTCTATTGCATGGCATATGTCATCTGATATTCTTCATTTCTTTTTCGCTACACTGCCGGGCAATCTTATTACAGTATACTGCTGGGAGAGTTTGTTTTATTAGCCAACTTATTTGCACTTTTTACTTACGAGAAGGAATCTTCTTTTATGTAACACGTGCTTTTTTGTTAACTTTTATTAATCGACTTGTCATAGACTTCAAAAAGAACAGTGTTCTCAACACAACAAACTAACCTAAGATGTAAGATTAAAATAGTGTTTTGCATATTTGCTATCTGAAATGATAGATGCACAGTGCCTATAAATTTGGGAAATAGTCTTCGTCTTAAGCGGATGTATATGGATTTGTGATTAATATGATTTCCGGATGTCTTATATTCACGCTGGTAACCAGGTCAGATGGGATCGGATACCCCGTATGAGATAAATGCGGGAGCCGTTAGAAGAATCGATGGTTATTTTATAACTATTTATTCAGAGGTTGTTTTACCGTATGACCCATCCTTTAGGAATTTTTGTCTATAGTTGCCTGTTTTTGTAAACTGCCCGAATTACGTTATGTGGTCGTCGCCATTAAAACTGATTAACTAACCTAAGGATCAACTGTGCAACTGCGGCTAATAATGTTCTTGACACCTCAAACATTCTTCTTGGATTTGATATGTTTTCATGAACGCCTATTATGCTATCTCAGTTTAAAGCTACTTAGGTATGAAACAAAATGCATATAAAATAGCAACAAACATAACATTTATCATTTTGATTGTATTGGTTCATGTAAAATGCCGAGTTGTCACTTTTGTCATTTTCTGATTGACGCTCTTTAATTTTAATTCTACATCACGTAATCTGCAAATTACAATCTTACAAATTACATTGTCATTTTAATTTGTATAGCTGCTATAATATTGTTATATTTCTCTGGCATTGTTAGTAAAAGGTAACGGACCCTATCACTTTCTTCTAGTTTGCAGGCTCTAGGCTTCAGGCTCTCTCAACAATGATTCGACATGCATGCAATTCATCTGTTGAACACTTTAGCGTGAACAATCTTTTCATGATGTGAAGCTTTATCAAATTACTTTTCCTTTCAAAAACATTTTTAAGGGACTTTGGCATATCTTGTGCCGTTTTGGCCTCTTTAATGTATTTCAAATGTTTGTCAGCTATGTACTGTACTATAATACACCTTGCCCTTATGTCATTTTGGTCATGTTTTACCTTTTCGTTAGCTACCAAGTCGTCACAGTGTTCTTTCGTCATGTTAGCACACCATAGATGTCTTCTTTCTCCAGTATTTTACCCTAAATCTACAATGACTGTAGCTGCTGTTGGTAAGGAAATGGTACAATGATTGACGTCGTCATTTTCTTCTATTCTGATTATTTCTTTTTTGCTTTTCTAATCGTTTCTAACCTCAAAAATCTTCTCGTTACAGTATATGGCTGGGATAGTTTGTTTTATTAAACAACTTGTTTTTATCTATTTGTACTTTTTACTTATAAAATACGTGCTTTGCTCTTAGCTACTCACTACAAAAAGAGCAGTCTTCGGAACATGACAAACTAACCTAAGCATCGAGATTCTGTGGATAGCATTGCACGTGACACATTGATTCTTGTCCGCTGCCCACAGAATCCGAGTTTTTCAACGTTTAAAACTTGTTTTCGGTCAAATTGTTTTAATATTAGATATTAGTGAATAGATAGTGTCTTTTAGTGATATAATATTCTTTTTGTGACCAACACGGGTGTTAATCCTAGACGTATTAATGTTGAACTCTGGTAGTAACTCGCCGAATGATCCTAGCAATGTTGGCCAATAGAAGTAAAGAAGAAGAAGAACCTACGTATCAACTGTGGTACTGTCGTTAGTGACATCTCCAACCAACCTAACAATAATACTGCACCCATTGACAGAGCACGTAACATAGAAATTAATTATATTGTTCTCATTTTAAAAACAAATAATCCAGAGGCGGTAATCTACAAGTAGGAGAATAATTAAAGTCGACGCTTGGATATATAAGTTTTATTTAGAAACTAAGGTGATCGTGTGTAACGTCAGGATAATCGTAATAGTTATTCCGCGGCGCTTGGGCGTATCCTGTTGCATAGCTACGATATCTGTCCAAGAAGTCGTCACGTTTCCCGTAACTCGTCGGATAGATGGCGCCACCGTACTCCAAACGGTTAGTATATGGCGCACTGTCGTCGAAAAACCAAAACAAAAACAATATCGCGCCTCCGACGAGCAGGAAAACGACGCCAGGTAGCAGGAATCGCCTGAAAAACTGATTCTTCCTCAACGTCTGAAAGATATGGTTAACGCTCTCCAATATCTTGACCAGCACGAGAGGGATGGTGCCTAGCGATCCCAGGTTCCCGAGAATCTTCTGGATCGGGCTGTACGAGTCTCCGTAACTGTTGGTTATTTCTGTGATCGAATTGCCCAAAAGATGGCCGACGACATCGGGAAGAGACGCCAAAACCTTATCGAGTATACTCAGCAGGATCTGGGTGAAAATGTCCTGGTGCTTGGCCGTTTTTTTGAGCGAAGAATCTGAGGCGGCTGGGACGGCGGAGTAACTATTGACATTTCCGTAGACGTTCGCTGGGGTCGGAATGGGGAAGGGATAGATCGCGTTGTTGTTGTAGTACGAACTAACCGATCTGGGTATGGCGCTTCTAGCCTCTGCGCGTAGAAAACATTTAGTTGAAATAACTGCGACTAACCAGCCTACCTAACTGTGTCTTTAGCGCGTCGAGTTTCGCCTGGAGTTCCGCGACGTTGCCGCTTCTTTCTGCCCCGGGCGGTGTAGAGTTTTCTTTGAGGTAGTTTTGGAAAAACGCGGCAACCTGGCTGAGAGGGTCCGGTTCGGCTGAAAAATCAAGTTCTCCGCCACGTTAACTTGGTTTTGAAATGATAAATACTTTAAGGAAATTTAAAAAACGTACTTTTCCTAAAGTTAGTATGTTATGTTGGTAGGACTGACTAGAGAGTGTTATAACCGTCTTTATTCTTTGGTTATGAAATTTCGATTATGTTGTGGTTATGTTTCTCTGGCTGTGCTTCCAATAATTTATCACATGCGGTAAAAGAGATGGAGGATGTGTTATGTTTTTGTTAAGTATTATGTCTGTCCGCAAATTAGATAACTGAGAGAGGTGATTCGTGACTACAAGTAATGTTCAAATGTTCAAAATTTTTGTCAGCAATTAAAATGTAAAGAAGAAGCAAAACGATCTCTGTTTCTGTCAAGCATCAAATGCACAAACAGGTTAGAAACGATTATTTTCTTAAAAATTGGAGTTGAGTTGTGGTGGTGACAATTTGCTTTGAAAAGGGCAGAAAAAATAAAATTGCGATTTGTTAAGATAGACGTAATGTAAGATGAGATGTATAATGATGACTTAGACGTCATGGATGTAATCCGCGATCAAATAAGAACTAAAAGTTCAGATTTTCATGAAATTATTTATATTCACATGAAAATTGTTTCGACGACACCGTGTCTTTATCAAATGTAATATTTACAAACTACCTGCTACTATATACGAGTATAGCGAAAAATGACAATAAAACCTCAATTAATGTTGTGAGAATTTAAGTTTAATAATGGAGAGGTATTTCAATCTAATTGACCGTTAAGCAATACACTTGAATGTCTCATTTTGTTAATGATCATTGCTTCCAATAAATTTAGTTTTCTACTTTTTCTGGCTGTATGTAAAATAGCGAAATTGTCGTCAAAAATCTGTTTTTCTGTGTTTAAGTGTGTAGCATAATTAGAATCTATACTGTTGTTTTTAAACGCTGTTTGTCCAATAGGAATTTTAGGACAAGATCCGCATTTCAACCTGTAGACACCTGAGTTTTGAGATTTTGGACATTTCGTTTTATTGTTTTTTAAAAATTTTCCTTTGTGTTGTGTTGTTAGCTCAAATCATCCTTATACAAACAAAATGGCTGCATTTTACTCTTTGATCACAGGCTTCTTATTATGCCACTCTCAACAGAACATTACAACAAACGACTTGACATCATTAAACAAATTGCAGTGAGCAACGGCTACAATCCGTCCATTATCTTCATAATAGACAACCATAGTTTCATCTTCCGTCACAATAGTTTGCATCACCCACCCACAGAGTTCCAAAAAAGACCGCGCACACTCGACACGGCGTTGTTTTTGAATAGCCGAAAGGTTTTTAGGAACCCATCTTGCACTAACCTTATGCATACCTAAATAATCATGCAGGATTCGACGAACACTTGTATCAGACAGCTTAGTAATTGCTGAAATTTACTTGACCTTTAAACGTCGATCACTCAATGCCACCTCTTCCACAATCGCAACAATATCTTCCGTTATGATCTCCACTGGTCGACCAGTTCTTGAATCATCTTCAAGGGACTCCTGCCACACTCAAAAACGTTTTGCCTATTCTTTCACTACAGAATACGAAGGAGAACTTTGGAAGTACACACCATCTAGTCTTTCTTTAATAATTTTAGGTGCTAACCGTTCTTTTGTCAAAAACTTCATTACTGCTCTAAACTCAATTTGTGTTATTTGCGACATTTTGATGCAAGACTTCTTTTTTTTTCGTTGGCTACTAAGATATATATTTAAAACAAGACAAAGTTTTATCATGATACTGGAGCTGCATCTATGTCATCAAGTAAAATCCACTTCAGTTCAATCTTTAATCAACAGTTGATTAACAGGTTCTTAGGGTGTTTATTGGTGAACACGGACATGAGCCAATATCGAAAAAAATTCTATTATCCATGATAAAAAGAAAGAGGCTTCAACAATAACATGTAACAACTTACCGATTCTCGTTCTTGGCTCCTGTCGTTCGTCGGGCGCTTCTCTTCTTCTTCTCGCTTTGGGCGGGCTAACATAAGCTGGGCCACCCGCCCCGTCCGCCGATGCTTTTTGATCGTAGCCACCCCCGTTTTGACCTCCGTCGTATGACGGCTGGTTGATCGCGCTGATTACGTTCTTCAGTTCGTAGATTTTCTGCTCCAAATTGGCGATCGTCTCCTTGTCTTCCGGCTTCTGACTATAGTCGGCCCGGCTCAAACCCTTGATGACGTTCTCCAGGTTGCCTATTTGCTGTTTCAGATCGGCTATGACGGCGTAGTTGTCGTTCGCCTTCTGAACAGTGTACGATGATTGATCCAGGCCTGATCCAGTATAACCTTTCGGGCCGTAGTCAGCGCTCTGCTGACCTCCCGGATAATCTGGTGCCTTGTCCGGCATAGGCGGAAAAAACTGGGGGTTGTAATTCGCGGCGGCGACGTCACCGTACGACGCCGGCTTCGTAGCTAACGATGACGCAGCTGCGTAGTTAGAACCGGGGTAAAAAAACGGTTTCTGGACGTCGGAAGTCTGAGGTTTGAAGTACGCTGGTTTAGGACCGCCATTTATGTTGCCATAAGAGTTTTCAGTGGCGTACGGGGGCGGTGGACCGACGAAAGGCCCTTTATACTGCGGCGGGTTGTAATAATTAGAGCCGTAGGGCGTTTTGAAACGACTCGAATCGTATGCCGGATATGCTCCGTAGCCGCTGGATTGGGAGTCGTAAGGGGGCAACGAATAGGGATTGACTCTGTTATAGCTGCCGGATAGTAGGGCGAGATATTGCCGGTCCGCGCCGGCTCCGTAGCCTCGCGGGAACGGGGGCGGAGCTACGTCGTAGCCGCCGTAGTCGTAGTCGCGGTACGGTCCCAATGGCTTACCGTAGACCGACTCCGCTGAAAATCCAGGGCCGTACCCGCTTTTGGACATCATCTGACTCAACTGGAACCATTGTTCCGGAGAAAATTGCGGTTTTTGCGCACCTGAAACTGAAAAAAATTGTGTAGCACCGGTTAACTTTTCTTTTAGAGAGGCTAAGTTCCCCGTGGCATTAAAAAAGGCAGCGATAGCCGGGATCCCTAGCGGGGGGGGAGACAGGCATTTGATGTCTAATTACCGGTTTGCTCAAAAATCTTCGACAGATGATCAAATTTATATTCTTTAAATGGCAATAATAAATACTCCCTGTTATACTCAACCAGCCAATGTAGGTTTCTTATGGTTTATATAGTTTTTTTGGATTTATGACCATTTGTTTGTCAAAAATGCTTCGTGTTTAATGCCCTATTTTTTTGACGCCGTTTCCAATAGCTAAAATTTTATTACACAAGTTAGACGTCATATTAAACTTCTCACTGAGTTTAAAAAAAGACAGAAAAGTAGTACTTAAAAAGGTACTTATTAATAATTTAGCAAAAAATGCTACTTGCTACAGGTGAATATCTAGATTGCAACTTCTCCGAGCTAATGGCTTAATTATCTATTTAATGTTACCATATTTATTTTTTTTATGCTTCTCAATAACTAAATATATATGTCAAACCTTCACAAATGGTATGGTGCCACCTCCGCATGAGGCATGAGAAGAAGAAGTCTCATTCGCAACGCACTCGGGAATCCCATTTGCAAGATAGATTTTAATCTTTACGTTATCGGAGGACAAGACGCCGCAGAAACTATTCGTGCTGATGCTGAAACTGTTTGTATAGCACTTCAATTCTAAGAAGTGCTAGACTTACATACAGCAACAGGATAGACATTTTGAAGAATTAAGTTAATAAAATAAAGTATAAATATGTAAACAACAATAAAATCAAAAATAAAGGGGTCTCATTTAAATGGTCTTTAAAATTTCAGCCGAGCAACACACTCTCAAGCTATGGTAGTTATGGAAGGAAAGATAAGGAAAAATAAAACTGGCTAATGTGATAAAAACAAAACAAACATCATTTACACAAACCAACAATAAAATTGATAAGAACCCCATCGAAGAACAATATTAGCTGGGAAAAGTTAAAAAACAACATCCAAGAAGGAGCGCTTGGTAATTTGAAAAATAACACCACATAAAGACAAACCGAACAAGACGCCATGGTTTACCAAAGAAATTAAAGAATCGTGCAAAAAGAAAAAACAGGCATGCTTAGAACAGAAAATGGCACAAACCACAGAATCGTATGAAAAATAGAAAAAAATACGTAATGAAACTAACTCTCTTGTAAGACGGACCAAAAAAAGACAAGACGTAGAAATTGCACTTCAAAAAGATGATTTAAATTTAAAATCAGCACAGCAATTACAAACATTAATAAAGGAAATCATGTTTTATCATAAAATACCAGACGAATAGCGTGTTAGCACTACAATTTTACTTTTCATAAAAGGACACAAAAAATACCATCAAATCACGGGGGGATAAATCTACACGACGTTCAAATTAACAACTAAAAACAAGGATTCAGGTCTGGAAGATCTTATACAGACGCTGCATTCATACTAAGGCAACGAACCAGCCTAGATATGTGTTTAATTTTATCCTGGCTTGGGGTATTCAGCGCATTGCTTAATGATGCGCATGATGTGTAATAAATAAAATTCAATTTGAGCTTTTAACCGCGTGACGCAACCATCTCACTAGCTATTCCCGCCTGCTGTGGGACCCCGTTCTGAGTCAGCAGCTTGGTCAGCATGGCTTGAAAGTCCTGCGCCTCGTTTTTGCCCCTTACTGGTGCCAAGGCCGAGTCATCGTCGGGCCTGAGCCTATTGATGGCAGCCTGCAGGCTTTGGAGCTCGGCCTCGACGTCGTCATCGTCCGCCTTGCTCTGCGGCTGGTTGAGAGCGATAAGGGCCTACAAATTAAAACTTAATCTCTGCACCCGCTCCCCACCTATGTCAATCAACCTGCGCAAGTTTGGTCGACGGGTCGCTCTTCGCCGTCATTTTCCGTATCGCCTTGGCCAACTCCTCGCGCTCCTTCTTCTTTTTCACCTCCGCCTCCAGTTCCAATATCTTCGATTTCAAATCGTCCTCGTCAGTTTTCTTCTTCTTGCTTTGCTCGAGCAGGTTCAGCAGTTTGTCGACGTCGACGTCGTCCCCGCTGGCCCTCTCCAGGTGATCCCCGCGTTCCGCTTGGCGAGTGGAAGCCATTTTCGGAGGCAAACTCTTCGGTCTGTGCACCGCGCCCACCACAGGATCCGCAGAGGTGTTTCGGTTTCCCGATTTCTCGTACAAACTCATCAGCATCACCTTCAAGAAGCCCAGCTCGCGCTTCTGACTATCGAGCTCTTCCTCGATGGTCTCCTCTTTACGTTGCTCCTGCACCAGCATCTCGTGGGTGCGATTCAACGCTTCCGCGGTCCTCTTCAGGTCGTTCTTGATCGTTTCGATCTCAATCCGCGCCTCGGTAGGTTCCTTTCGCTGCGTTTCGTTCTTCTTCGAGCCGTCGACGCCCAAAAGCTGCAGCAACGTCTGGATCTCTCGCTTGGTCTTTGGATCCGCGTTGACATCGTTGGATTTGCGTTCGAGCGCCTGCAGGAGCTCCTGCTGGTCCCGCAGGAGCGCGACGACCTCGTTCAGCCTTTGCACTTCGGTTTTCAGCTCGAACAGCCGCCGTTTTTCAAGCTCGTACTCTCTTTGGTTCTGCGCAGCGCAAGGTTCACTTTGGGCGGGTTCCCGGGAGACGGCCATACGTTTTTTGCGGTTGAGGAGGGGCGGGAACGATTGAATGGCGACCGGGGATGTCGGAGGAGTGATCGTGTCCTCCCAGGTGGTTTCCTTGACGGTGCTGGAGGTTAATGGAACCTAAAACCATCAAAAATAGTACTTGGTATTCGGAGAAGGTTGATAGTATCGTGCGTTCAATTTATTTTAATTTTAATTGGCTGTAACATTTTTGTTGTTCTCAAGGTGAACAAAAAAACAAAATGTAGCCTTAGTAGTCAAGTTTTTTTCCAAGTGACGTATAAAACAAAAAACTATCGATTTTCTGACATATAAGCTTACATCATATATTTTTAAATGGTAAAGTCTGTTCATAGATATAAGAAAGTGACTAACTGATACGAATTAAAGAAAGACCCGTGCAAGCTGTAAGAATGAAATATGGCCGAACAGGTCCGTACTTTGCTTAGAATTTAATTATTTGGGGTTTTGTTAGGAAAGATACTAAACAATATTTATTTATTTATGTTTATGTTTGTACGTTCAAGCTTTGTAGAACCTCAATTAATTGCTTTTTAGTATAATCTTCGTGAAAATAAATGTCCTTATTATACACGCAGTTTTGTATTGTTGCTTTTGTGTCACATGAGGAAGGGGTTTTAGTCAACTGTCTACTGTGATAACTTGCATTGTACATTACAATTACGCTATTTGGAGGAATGTTTGGAACTAGTTTGTTTTTAAACCAACTTTCAAATAAATCAGCGGTGGTGTCTTCATGGTAATCCAGTAAAGAATCTTTAATATTTTTCGCAGCAGAGAAAGTCCATTTGGAATCCAACCATCTTTAGAGCCAGCATGCAAAATAGTTATAATTTTACCTCTCTTTGATGGCACGCTTGTTTTATACTTATCAGTTGAGTCAACCCAACCCTTTTCCAGGGTATCATAAGTGTCGAACCAGGTTTCATCCAAGTAAATAATTGGCCTTTGTTGTTCTCTGTAATTCCTAATTTTTTCTAGATATTCCAGTCGCCATTTACGAATCCTAAAAGATTGACGAGTGTCAGTGCGAGCCGCTTACTCCCACTCCGCTGGTCGTGTTGGAGGAGGGGGACCAGGAGAAGATGAAACCGGTGAAGATCGCGCCGAAACCGATAGCAGCGCCGCCGCCGGCGGTGGCGTTCCCCAATATCCAGATATGTCAGAAAATTGATAGTGTTTTGTTTGACACGTCACTTGGAAAAAAACTTGGCTACTAACCTTAGATTTTGTTTTTTTGTTTACGTTCATACCTTTATAAACAAAAAAGTTACAGCCAATAAAAATGTTATCAAGATAAATTGAACACACGGTACATCTGAAAATGTAAATAATTACCTGGTTGTTTTGCTTGTGGATGGTGTTAGAGGAGTCGGCAGAGTCCCATCGGTAGTCGACATCTGGAAAAAAAATCTTACTTTAACTGGTAGATTTCAGATAAGTTTGAGATCCATTTGCTACTCATCTTCGATTCATTGAAAGTTAAGACTTTTGAAAGATTTTTTTTTTTACCAAAGCAGTTGGGTTTATTCGAGAATCAAGGATCATTTGTTAAACTAAAATAGTACGAAAAGAGAAAAATCCCTTGCATTTACCGTTTTTTGATGTGATCCATAATAAGGCCTGTAGGAATTGCAATAATACAAAACTTACATTCTCTCTCTTCTCAGAAACGTGGGTTCTAAGGGATGGGACTGAATTGTCAGGTGATAAGCAGTTTTCAGTATAAATCTTCCATGGTATACAGTGTGTCCAAGATAAGCATGTCTACTTTGGATATTCGAGAAGATGTTGATAGCGAAGACAAACATTTTTGGAAGACCAGCTATAAATCTTAAGCAGTGTGATGCGTTTATGAAACCAGAAATAAACCCTACAAGAAAAAGTAAATAATGTATTGTTAGCTGTAAGTGAAAATCCGGAAACATATCTTAGAAAAATAGAACTGGAGTCGGAAAACATACTGCCTATTTTATTTTGTGAACAAAAATTTCACCCGTTATACTCTAAGCGCTCAGACCTGGTGATGAAGAAAGACGAAGACCATATTGCTAATGGTATACTAGGAAGTATCCAGATGGTCGGAAAGTATGGGGACAAGTAATGGAATTTTTAACTGGCGAATTGGCTATTATTTAATTGACGTGTAATTAAAATCTTTCAAGGTATCTTGTAGACCTCGAGAAGTGGCAAAGGAAAAGTGACCTGTGTGATATTTTGTCGAATATCTCGCTCACTCTGTATGACGGAGGGAAACTGTAAATAGAAAATTATATCTCCCGACACATTTTACGATACTGTTTAAACCAAATCATCTCATCATTCGCCGTTTTTCATTTACGACCAAATAATTTGCCCACAAAAACGGAAATTTTCAGGATCTTTTAGACTTTAGAGATTTTTCTTCATAATTAAAACACCCTGCATTTAATCGAAAAAAACGCGTGAAACATAAGTTATAGCTCTGGATCTCCCGCGTTTCAGGGTGCCGATCGGTTGAATAGATTTTGAGAATCGCCTTACCTTATTAATATATAAATACTTTTTGATAAAACTTTACTTTTTGAACACACCTCGTACGTTGAATTCTGTGACGCCGTGTAATAAACGCTTACCGTTGTCGAAAGTGCCAGCCGACGCAGCGGCCACCTGCTTGAAGAAATCCATGCTGAAATTTTCAGCGTCCTCAACGATTTTGTTAAAATCCGTCCTCAAGGTCATCAGATTCTTGCTCAGCTCTTTCTTGTCGAAAGGTTCCCTCGCAGAGGCTATCCGAGAAAAGAGCGAGATCGCCAAAACGGTCACCTTTAGCACCAAACCCTTCATTTTTTCAATCTAAATAATATTTAACACCGACTGTCCCATGCGTACGTTGACGGGTCGAAAATTTGCACACAGCGAGCATTATGCCTCGACCGAAGTTGGAAATCGACCTTAGTCAGCAGTTTACGGCGGCGGACCTACATATTTTTCGTTTTTAATAACATTTCGGATATACAGAGAGGCTTCCTGACCGAGATCTAATTAGTTATTTTGCTATAAAACACTGGGGTGAGAAATAGTTTAATCGTTTAGGAGATTGGCTTACGGTACAAATCCAAAATGTTGGCTACTTATGTGAGCAAACATGAACTACCTATATAAAATATTTTTGGCTATGCGGTGTTGCCAGATATACTCTTAACGTACATCAACTTTCGTTTTTTAAACGGAACGCCCTGTATATTACTAAATTTTTAGATTCTGCGAAATGTTCTGGAGCTTTTTTAGGTAACATGTACACCGTGTGCGAAATAAAGCGATCCACTATACCATCTGGGATAGGAGATGCGAAAAAAAGTTTCGTCAAAAGCTTGTTGGACTTTCCTGAAGATTTAAATTATAATAATTTTGTTGATACGGAGTGTATCATTAAACAAATCGTACAACGGCTACAATCCGTCTATTATCGTTAAAATTATAAATAAATAACAAATTCGGACAACAGTAAACTCTATTTATCTGAAACCTAATACAGAACACGAACAATTTAAAACAATTGCATACATAGGAGAACCCAGTGAAAAAATTTCAGAACATTTATCAAAAATTTTTAAAAAACAATAAAACGAACTGTCTAAAATCTCAAAAATTAGGTGTCTACAGGTTGAAATGCGGATCATATATTAAAATTTATATTGGACAAGCAGGTAGTTCCTTCAAGAAACGCATTAACGAACATAAAAAAAACAATAGTCTAGATTCTAATTATTCTAATACACACTTAAACTCAGAAAAACACATTTTAGACGATAATTTTGATATTTTACATACAGCCACAAATAGTAGAAAATTAAATTGATTGGAATCCATGGAGATTAAAAAAATGAGTCACTCAAATGTATTGCTTAACGATCAATTAGATTTAAATACCTCTCCCACAATAACATTAATTAAGGTTTAAATTGAAGTCTTGCGTCAAATAGTTTTTTATTGACAGCATTTTAAACAAGACGTGTCCGAAAAAATGTCGCAAATAACGCAAATTGGGTATAGAGCAGTCATAAAGTTTTTGACAAAAGAAGGGTTAGCACCTAAAATTATTAAAGAAAGGCTGGATGGTGTGTACGGCCAGAGTTCTCCTTCGTATTCTGTAGTGAAAGAATAAGTAAAACTTTTTTGATTGGGGTAGAAGTCCCTTGAAGATGATTCAAGAACTTGTCGACCAGTGGAGCTCATAACGGAAGATATTGTTGCGATTGTGGAAGAGGCATTGAGTGGTCGACGTTTAAAGGTCAAGGAAATCTCCGAAATTACTAAGCTTTCTGATACAAGTGTTCGTTGAATCCTGCATGATCATTTAGGTATGCATAAGGTTAGTGCAAGATGGGTTCCTAAAACCCTTTCGGCTATTCAAAAACCTCGCCGTGTCGAGTGTGCGCGATCTTTTTTGGAACTCTGTGGGTCGGAACCGAAGCCTGGGATAGAAACTATTGTGACGGGAGATGAAACTATGGTTCTCTATTATGACCCTCTATCGAAAAAAGAATCAATGGAGTGGCATCGTAAGGGTGAAGCACCTCCAAGAAAATTCAGAGTCTGCCAGTCAACAAAAAAAGCGATGGCCACGATCTTCTGGGATTGTGAAGGAATTCTTTTGATAGATTTTAAAGAAACTAATACCACTGTTAATGGTAAATATTACGCAACAGTATTACATAAATTGCGAGACTGCATACGTGTAAAACGTCGCGGAAAACTGACCGGAGGCGTGCGTCTTTTGCATGATAATGCATCTGCTGGTGTTGCCATTTTAGAGTGTGGGTTCCAACAGATAGATCATCCTCCCTACAGTCCAGATATGGCCCCCAGCGACTTAGTGGACGGCGGTTTAACGACGAAGTTGAGTTAAAAGACAAACCAAAAGACTTCTTACTTCTTCTTTTACTTTTACTTCTGACCCACTTTAGATATTTCAATGAAATTTCTCACGCATGTACTACATGTAAAGTAAAATGTAAAATAAAAATGATTCCTACGTCCTGCAATCATTTCTAAAGAAATTTAATTTCTTGATTTTTTTCAATCCCATGTGTGGTTTTCGCTTAAAAAAAAGCCTCCTCTCTGCATGGTCATGATGACAGCGTGCAGAGAATTATTATTCTTTGTTCTATTAAAACACTTAAAAAAATCGAAGTACAAATACGAAGCACTTAAACTCTTAAATTATGGACACAAATTTGAGGTTTAAATCCCATGTCAGCAAATGCATACAGAAAGGTTATGCCAATTTAATCAGCCTTAAGCCATTTCAACCATGTGAACCCCACATATGGATAGATGAAAAGATTCCAACAGAATTCAGAAAATTCAATAAGCATGTCAGTTCCAAGAATTGAACCCTGTGGCACACACTTCTTTCTGACTTTGATTAGGATAGGCACCCCGATATATCGGGTACGACTGGGAAAAGTAATTTTGTTGTAGGCGTTTGTATATTTTCCGCGTCCGTAAAATATTTTAAAGACAACTGCAGCACATGTTCCGCAAAATTTGGTCTAATTTGCTAATCGCCCCGTATATAATAGCAACGCGTCCGCCCCTGTATACGTCCGTTTCCGCGTCTGCCCCTTTTCGCAGTGTAAAAAATCCATGCGTGAGCCCATAATAATATCGACGTCATGCGCTTTCGCCATCGGCTTCCGGCAAGGATTGGACTAACGGCCGCCAGAGGGCGCACGATAAGACAAGGCGCAAGCGCCGAATCGAGCGTCGACATACATGCCGCGAGCCCGCGAAGGAGACGCAAGACCTTTAGGTCGTTGGGGTGGGGGTCGGCATGAAACCTCGGAGGGGAAGGATCAGATGGTCCGTGGCGAGGATTTGATGGATGTTTTGGATAGAAATAGAGACACACCGCTTGCAAATTAAAAACGTTTTGGGAGGTTTTCACTTTTTTTTTCTTCGACAGAGGCACGTAATTTAGCAATTCGGTTTTCACGTTCATATAACTGAAATACTTATTATTGGGAATGATATAAATTATAATATGAGTTTTGGATTTAAATTATATTTTAGTTACAATGTGCATTATTTTTCCAACAGTTTTATTAATACGTATTTTGTTTTGGAAATTTTTCTGTAATACAGCAGAGTCATTTTAATTAAGTTAATGTCTATGAAGAAAAATACTTTATCACGGTGTTAACAAACATTTTTTTAAATAATATTGATTCGGGTTGGCTCAAGTTGGAGGACCGATATAAAGTTCAGTTAGCCGCCTTTGATTTTTACTAAACTCCAATTAGAGCCCGTCGTACTTGTTTGATATATTTTGCAGAGGAAATGATATTCATAATCGAGGCACCCGTCATTGTTTAAGATATTCCGTTCCTAGACACACTTTCCCGAGATCTTTTAGCTATAACGCACTTATTTAATGAAATACCTTGTGCTATAACGTCCCTCCCCACAATAAAGTCCTTCAAAAAAGCGTTAATATTGGTTTTCTACTCCCGTACGGCGGGAGGGGGATCATTTTGAACGGGACAACATTTATTTTGCTGAATAAATGAATACTTTTTGATAAATTTTTCATAGAAACATCCACGGGCTACTGCAACACTTTTTATAGAAGTTCTGGATTTCTAATGCGTCGTTTTTGGTTAACTCAAACTTGCCAACCTTTCGCCAATCATCCTGTTGGCTTCTTCAGAGCTTGACTGAAACTGGCTCGAATTTTACTCTGTACCCTGTACACAAGTTTTATATATCCGTGTTTTGCTTTCGTTACTTAAGTATTTATTCCTCCATATCATGGTTTGATATCCTAGATGCTACTATTGTTTGCATTTTTACTTCTTGTTTCAGGTTCTTATTGCTCGTGATGTTAACCCCTAGATACGTAAAAGACATAACCTACTCCACACTTTGATTATAAATTGCCAGTTTGCATCTTCTGGGTTATCTCGCTATTGTCAAGGATTGTGTCTTCTGTGTCGATATGATCATATTGAATTTTCCTGCAGCTGTTTCGAATCTGTGTAGTAGTTTTTGTAGATTATCCTCATTTTCCGATATCACAACCGCATCATCAGCGTTGCAAACTGTCTTAAAAACTCATGTTTTCCCATTCTGTATCCTCTGCCTGCAGTTTGGACTTTTTTTTATTATTGCGTCCATTATAATGTTGAAGAGTATTGGACTGACTCCTTGTCTGATGCCTGTTGATACTGGTATTTTACTGGAGAGTTCGTTGTTTACCCCTACATACGTGCTATTTCCGCTGTTCATGTCCCGAATGATGTTTGTTGTCCTTTGGTTTACGTCTCGTTCTTTTAGCAGCTCAATGACGTCACGTAATCTCACTCTATCAAATGCTTTTGTTAAATCTATGACCTTTTCGGCAATCTGTCTTAAAATTAATATAGCTCTATGGTCGATCTATTTTGTCTGAATCCCTGCTGTTCTTCGCTCATACCACTACTTGAGACTTCTTCTGTAATAATTTTTGTTAATAATTTTGAAGTCGTGTTTAGGAGGCTGATCCATCTATAGTTATTTGGTTCTTTCTTTTCCCATTTTTTGAAAAGAGGGATCGTTATGCTTACTTTCCATTCCTCTGGTACTTTTCTCTGGTCGTATATCTTATTAAACAGGACATGCGTTTGGTCTATTAATTCATTGCCACCATATTTAAGAAGCTCGTTATTAATATTATCCAGCCCTGATGATTTCCTCTTTTTCATCTTGCGTATTGTTGCTTCAATTTTGTCTTTTGATATAAATTGTTGTTGGGTGTTTTCTCTTTCCCCAGATATATTTTCCTGTTCCCATTTTTTTAACGTTATTGTTTGCGTGTGAATGTATTAATTGATTGGCCTTTTAAGGTTCCTTATCATATTCCATATCTCATTTTGTCCTCCATATAATAGGTGTTCCATGTCTGATGGGCATTTCTCCCAGAATTGTATCTTTGTAGTTTGGATTTTGGATATTTGTCCTATTAATCACGACTTTGTAATCAGCATATGTGATTGTTTGACTTCTAAATTGAAGATATGCTTTCCTTTTTTCTTCTGCAAGTGATTGGATTTCGTGTGTGAACCATGGCTTCGTGTTGGGCTTTCCGTTTTGGTTCACCTTTCGCTTGCCTAGTGCCTCTTCTGCAGCTGTCATTATATTAGTGCGTAATCTTTTCCATGCTAGCTCTACGGTGTCATCTTTCAAGATCTTGTTTTCACTTATTGTCTTCCTTATTCTTTGTTGGTTTATTGGGTTTTCCTTTGTACGCAGTTGATGAAAATCCATTCATCAAAATAAATAACAACTAAAAACATGACAATTGTTTCGACAACACCGTGTCTTTATCAAATGTAATATTTACAAACCACCTGCTACTATATATACTGAAAAATGACCATTAAACCTTAATTAATGCTGTTGCGAGAATTCAAGTTCAATAAAGGAGAGGTATTTAAATCTAATTGATCGTTAAGCAATACATTTGAATGTCTCATTTTGTTAATCTCCATGGCTTCTAATAAATTTAATTTTCTACTTTTTGTGGCTGTGTGTAATATAATATAATTATGCTACACACTTAAACACGGAAAAACACATTTTTGAAGACAATTTTGATATATTACACACAGCCTAGTTGACATTTTATGTCAGTCTATTTTGTCTATGATGGATCGAAGATGTTGAAAGATTTTTGGACAAGTGGTAAATCTGGTTTTGACTTTATATTTCTTTAGAACTTTTGGAAGGTTTGGTTTCTGATTCTCGGAGTTTAATATATCTGTTTAATGTATCAGTTTTCCCTGTAAAGGGTTTTAATTAGGAGGCGAGATATTTTGCTAGAGAATATGTTGGAGAATCAATGGTGCTGACAATAGGTCGAAAGGTAATCCTGGTTTGTGAATCTTTGGAAGTCTGTAGAGACGAGGAATTTTAGAGTCATGGGGTGTGACTGATTTCTTGATGGAGTCCGATAGAGAAGAAGCCTTAATGATAGATTTAAGGATGCGTTCCATAGATAACGTAGGATCTTTTTTAAGTTGACGATATGATTCGTCAGCAAGAATATCTTGAACCTTTTCCTGATATTCATTTATTTTCATAACCACCGTAGCATTTTCTTTATCTATTTTTAGGATCACGATGCCGGGATTAAATTTTAGTGATTTTAGGGCAATGCGTTCCGGCTTTGCAATAATATATTTAAGGGGGGTTCGATTTTTGTTTGAGATGGTAGTTTGTTTAGAATAGACTCGATATTTGAAATGATTTCCTCTTTTGGGATAATACGTGGGGCAAGGACAAAGTTGGAAACTTTTGAAAGAACTGATTTTTCCGTTTACGATGATATATTTATCATAGTGTTCGGGAATTGAGAAAAGTTTGACGTTAGTTAAACAAATTTCTTAATGTGATTCTGGGTAGAAGATAAGCGGAGATTTAAAGCTTTGTCATGAATCATGTTTGAAAGGGTATCGAACACGGATGGAGATAAGATGCAAGCAATTTGAAGATGTAGAGACAGAAGAGTCTATTACGGGTATGAAGTAAAGCGAAACTAGATTTTCGAAGAGTTTTATAAGCGGACCAGGTTTTGACATGGCGGGATATTTTAAGAAAATTGGGGATGACGTTATGGTCTCTACAACGTAACAAAAAGGTCAGTGTGCAGAATAATCTTACCAGTTTCACAAGGTGATCTTCTAACTGCTTTCTTTCTTCTGCTTTTGCGCTTGATGTCCTCTCCATAAAGGCTTGTCAATGTCTTCCTTGCTTATATTCATAAAGCCTAAAAGTACTTTTTGATGAAACTTAAAACTCACCTTTCTTTCCATACATGAACGAGCAAAAGAAAGGCAATAATCGCCCTTACTTTTCTACCACGCAGTTCACCTTCTTGCAGACTTCCCGAGTAAGTTAAATAACACCCTGTAGATTTTATAAATAAAAATAAGTGTCAGTTGCAATATTCCGGTACCCCCCCGGCACCCGCCACCAACATCCGGCGGCACAAAGGTTGCGCTTAAATTATACAAATTTCCCCCCCTCCCGAAGTTCGCCGACCTCCCGACCCTTTCCCCCCGTCGCGCGCGATCCCCTACCGAGCTCGTCGCGCTTCTACGTACGTCGATTCCTGCTCCGGAGGCGACTGTGTCGTGTGTACGTGTGTGTTGCGTTTTCCAGACTCCGGGAGCTGACCGGATTCCGGGTTTTTGTCGCGTTTCGCGAGACCAGCTGTCCGATTGGAAAATCGCCATTTCCATCGCGATATAGACAAAAGGGTGGACCCAGGGACGTTAACGCCATCGTCCTCGACGTCAGCGACGTCACGTCAATCGAACTCTCGGTGGAAACAAGTGACCGTCGACCTCGATTCGTTATTGTTTCTCGCGTGTGAAGTTTGATTTTTTCCCGACTCCGGTGAATATCGTGCGAGTGTTCAACGCCCGGACCGAAACTCCGGGCAACCAGGGTAAGCGGAATGTTCGTTTACGCGGCCGCCATTTGTACGGGAAAACGATCATCTGTGTCCGTCGGGCCATCGGGCGTTCGCCATTTTGCCAACTCGGCGCTGTATAGGCGTATACGACGTCGGTCCGCGGAGGCGTCGCGACGCTTCGAGAGCGTCCGAATTTGTCACGTCGTTTAACAATCTATAGCATTTTTTAATTTCCTCAAAAATGAAGCATTACTTTAACAGCAGTCGACTGCTTTGCTATGTACCGTTACTAAAAAATCTATACAAAGATTTAAGCGTATATTATTTTGAACCAACTGCTCATTCTATTAAACGCTCTAGTTTTTGCGTCAGGGCTAACCTAATTTTAAGCGGTTGGCAGGGGTGGAACACTGAAAGGTCCCATTTTGCTTAAGTCCGCACTACTTTCAAAAATGTTCATGAAATCTTTGCGAGTTTACACGTTTTTTCAAAATTTTGCAAATAAAGGGTAAATTTTGTATTTTTGGTAAAAAGGTATAATTTTTTTCTAAAAAAATTGACGCTTTCATAAAAAGTTGTTCGAATTTACACTATATTTTTTACGAATTTTACAAAAAATGTGTAAATTCAAAGTTTACAAAGTTTCGCGAAAAAGGAGTAATTTCAAAAATTTTTTTTCGCATTTTTCAACATTTTGTAAGTAAAAGGTCAATTTTGGATTTTTGGTAAAAAAAATTGATTCATTTCATTCAAAATTCATTTTTTTGACAAAATTTGCAAAAATTTTGTTGTAAAAATTTGCACTACAATTTTTACGAACTTTCAAAATTGACGCTTTTGCACTTTTTCCAAAATTTCGTAAATAAAGTGTAAATTGAAGATTTTTAATAGAAAAAGTGTAAATTCTTTATTTTTACAAAATGGTGCAAAGAAGTGCAAGTTTTGTAAAATGTTGTTTCACTATATTTTTTACGAATCTCTGAAATTACCGCTTTTAAAGGAAAAATTTTACAGAAACAGTTTAGTTTCACACGTTTCGAGATTCCACAAAAAAGGGTAAATTCAAAAACTCTTAAAGAAGTTTTGAAGCACCAAATTTTTGTAAAATATTTGCGAGTTTACATATTTTTTTAACATTTTTCTAAATAGAAGGTGAGTTTAGGAATTAAAAAAAAGTGTAATTTTTTTTTTTTAATAAAATTTTACAAAAACAGTAACAGTTTCCTAAAAGGTGCAAATTTACACTACATGTTTTACAAATTTAAAATTAAAATTACAAAAATGTTCATGAAATTTATAAATTTATGAAATTTACGAATTTCTAAAATTACCGCTTTTAAATGAAAAACTTTACAAAAACAGTTTAGATTCACAGTTTTCCAAATTCCGCAAAAAAGAGTAAATTCAAAAACTTTTAAAGAAGTTTTGAAGGACCAACTCCTTTTTTGTTTCAAGTTCGCTCTTTCATAACAATTTTTTGTAAAATATTGTGTAATAAAGTGTAATTATATATATTTTTTTAAATTTTGCAAAAACAGTTATAGTTTCGTACAAGCTTGCTAAAATTTACACTACATGTTTTACACATTTTTTAAATTTGCTCTTTTAAATTAAAATTTTTCCAAAAATAGTGAAATTCACGATTTTTCCCAAAAATTGAACTTACAAAAGTTTTTATTAAATTTTGTAAAAACACTGCGATTTTCGTAAAAAGTTTTTTTTTAAAGGAAAACGCAATATTTCTTGTAATTTAAAATAAAAAACACAATATTCAAAAACTTTTCGTAAAAAAGTGTGAATTTTGCAAACCTTTTTAACGAAAGCTTTTTTAACTAAATTTCGCAAATTACTTTTGATAATATTATAATTCTAATATTAGTATAATAACCTAAAATTTTCTCAAGGATTGGTATTTGAAAAAAATCTATGCTGCCCATCAGACATCGCTGCATTTGTCGGTAACCGATACCAAAATTTGGTATGCTTATTATTACATTTCAAATGCGATGTTGGTTGCACAACGTTCCCGTCTGGATTTCGGCTATCCACTGGTCGGGCCCACTTATTTTATACAGTTTTTTTTTTTGTAAATATCGAGTGTTTTGTTATAGGATTGCGATTCGACTGCAACCGATGACTGAGACGTCGAAGAGTTGAGAACCGCCAGAATGTTATCGCGTTGAAGCAGGTGAGGTTAGGATTTCGATGGCCCAATAGCATTCTTTAGAAATTATTTATTACTTAACGAAAAAATTCAGCGCAAGTGTACTCTGTCTCTAAAAAGTTACTTCGAATAAAAAGTGGCCGGTTTAGAATATGGTGTCAAAAGTTCTGGTTGGTTTTAGTTTCTCATAAATTATTTATTTCAGATGCTTTTTGCCTCGAACCGGTCAAATCGAGCGACCTAATAACTTTCGGGCAGGACATATTTGAGGCCTCCCCGTATATCGAGGATGTATTGTCTCATATAATCTAATTTTGGGTGTTCAAAAAATACAAACAAATTACAAAAAATTTTGATTAATAATTAGGTTGGGATCTGACATACGAAAACTAGTTGATCTCTTACAATTAATGGGAAAATTATCCTCATTATAGATTTGCATTTTCGATTTCGTCTCATATATTAATAATCATCTCTTATCACAAGTTGAAAAATTTGAGATTGATCAAAAAAGCTTCAATTCGATTATTTTCTGAAAAATCATTGAATTTGTTCAAAATCTTTGACCTATCATATGATTTCCTTGATGTTGACATTGCATTGTGGGCTTCAGATGAGAGTTATAAGGAAAATGGAGTAGGGTTGGTCTCTGAATGTAATAAGGGTTTAACGAAAAATGAAAAAAAAACATGGAGGATTGTGATTTCCTGACTAATAAAAGTCGGTTCCACTAAATCTAAAAAATGTACATTTTTCTAATAATTCTGTATTAAGGTATAAAATTTTGCATGGTGGAACGGGATTCTTTTTTTATTAATGGATATATTGGATAAAGAATAGATAATAAATTAAAAATAAATAAATTAAAAACTCTGAATACAAGTACCCATTAGGATTCCAATGAAAATATCTTCAATATGGTTAAGAATAATTGAAAACATTTTACAATAATTATTTTTCATTCAATAACAAAATACGGAACAAAAAGTTATTTTTCTTTAAATTCTTCAATATTTGACCTCGAATATCTTCCAAATTGTTCGATTTATCGGAAAACCATTTTTCAATAGTTCAATTTCCTATAAAAATTATTTATAAAATTGGCTTAACCCATATTATCCCAAGCATAAACAAAACACTTTTCTGCTCTGGAATTATTTATTTTATTGCACTTAAGAATACATCACATGTGTCAAAAAAAATAGAAACACTGTGAAAAAACATTAAATAATGTTTTGGGGCACATAAGATGTAATATATAATTTATACATAAATATACAAAAGAAAGTTGAAATTCGACAGAAAACAACTAAAAGTAGATTGTTTTCCAAATAGAACATGATTTGATACAAAAAAACGCATAATATTTTATGGTGCGTGAGCGCACCACTGGTAACACCCGGTTTCATTTTTGGTGATATTTTACAAAGCATAAAATATGTAAATTCACATTACACTTATTACAAACGTAAATTGTGTTGCTGTGGCAGATTCTACATCTCCTTCGGACTTCATTAGCATGAACGATCATGAGGTGACCAATAGACCAGTAGACCAATAATTCACAATATGTGGCAATGAATGATAACATCATAGAATAAGTGGTGCTTTAACGCACCACTGTTGGTGATAAGACATGATTATTTATATCTGAGACTAAATGAAAAATGCAAAACTGTAAGGAAGATAAGCTTCTAGCAACTAGTTTTTGTATGTCAGATACAAAAAAAATGTTATTTTGGACTCACCCTAGTGATTATTGTTATTACCGCCCCGCAGGCCTCTCCCGTAACTAATATTAAGCATGAAAGTTTGGCCGCAACGTCGCCCAATTGAGATAAATGCCTTACATTAACTACAGCAACGAAATCGCAATTGCAGAAAGGACAGCAAACTTTGTTAGCTCCTTTTCCCACCCATAAACATAATCCAGGAGATATAATAATAAAAAACGAATTTTAATTGATATGGACACTTCAATGTTGTACGATTAATAAGAACTTTTTTAAAAAATCGACCAAATTAAAACCGAATCCTTTAAAGTTTAGATTACTGGAGCTGAAGCTTTTGGAAGAGCTTTTATAGCTAGACCTTTTTGAGAAGTTTTTAGAGTTAAATTTAAAGCTATAACCTTTAGAATTACATCTGTTAGAGTAGCTTTTCGAAAATCTATTAGAGCTAGCACCTTTAGAACTTCTTTTTTTTAGAGCGTTAGAGCTTTTAGAGCTTGAGGATTTGGTACTAGAGTTTACATAGCCAGAGCTAGGGGATTAATAGAAGAGCTAGAGTTTTGCGAATTTTTAGATTTTTCCACCCCTTTTTAAGCTTTATGAGATAGAGAAACCTTATTTGACAAATAATAATCCTTTTCGCTTGTTCTGTCTGCAAAATCGATACTGACATCTTAAAACATTGCATATGTGGGTATTTCAGAATAGGGAATAGAAAAATATATTGTCACGCAGAGTTTTAATTGATATTGATAGTTCGATATTGTACGATTAATAAGATTTTTTTTATAAACTCAACCAAGGAAATTAAAACCGAGTCCTTTAAAGTTTAGATCGGAGGAGCTAAACCTTGTGGAAGAGCTTTTATAGCTAGATCTTTATTATGAGTTTTTAGAGCTAAAGCTTTTAAAGCTAGAACTCTTGGAAGTACACCTGTTAGAGGAGCTTTTCGAGGATCTTTTAGCGCTAGATCTTTTAGAAAATCTTTTAGCCTTGAGGTTTTGGTACTAGAGCTTACATAGCTAGAGCTAGTGGCTTAATAGAAGAGCTATATCTTATTTGACAAATAATAATCCTTTTGCTTGTTATAACTCTGTGCAAAATCGATAATGGCAACATAAATAGAATAGAAAAATGTATTGTCAGGCCGAATAAAAATCGAGTTTGAATTGATATCGACAGGGCGATATTGTACGATTAATAAGATTTTTTATAAAAAATCAACCAAGGAAATTAAAACCGAGTCCTTTAAAAGTTTAGATTAGTGGAGCTAAAGCTTTTGAAAGACCTTTTATAGCTAGACCTTTTTGAAGAGTTTTTAGAGCTAAAGCTTTTAAAGCTAGAACCTTTGGAATTACATCTGTTAGAGGAGCTTTTCGAGAGTCTTTCGGAGCTAGCACCTTTAGAAATGGTTTTGGAGCTTGAGATATTGGTACTAGAGATTTTAGAGCTACTGATTTAATATCAAGAGACTAGAGAGCTAGAACTTTTAAGAACTTTAATAATAAAATTGAGTAAAGGTTTATTTGACACTAAAACTAATTCTAACATCCAGCAAAGTACCAAACCGCAGCGTTTTTAGCTGTAGCTGTAGCTGTTTAAAGCTGTAGACTTCAGAGGAATTTCTAGAACCACATTTTTTCGCTAGATCTTCTAGAGAAACTTTTAGCGCTAGAAGTTTTAGTACTAGAGCTTACAGAGCTAGTGGTTCTGCAAAATTTTTAGCTTTATAAAATAGAGAAACTTTATTTGACAAAAAATAATCGTTTTTGCTTGTATTAACTGTCTGCAAAATCGAAGCTGAGGTCTTAAAGCATTGATATTTGGGTATTTCAGAATAAGAAGTAGAAAAATGTATTGTCACGCACCCTCCTGCAAGAGTTAAACAGATAATAAATGTGAACTATGGCAACGGTACTCAAAAAAGGTTCATTTGGATATTTCTTAAAATAAGTTTCTTTCAGGTTCCAATTGTATTGTCGTGATCTTTCTAAATTTAAAAATTATTATTGGCTTACTTAAAAAATCAATAAAAAAATCAATTAAGTTAAGTTAACTTAAACTTTATTTTATTTTAAGCTAAGTTTAGGAAAACACTTTATTAAGAGTATTCAGTCTAGTCCAGCCAAGTAGTTTGACTCATGGTTCATTAAATCAGGTTGCACCAAAAAAGCTTAGTCTCGAAAAACATAGAAAAGTTTATCAGATTTTTTTGCAAATCGGCGCCTTTGAGGAAAATTGAAAAAGAAGCGATTTTTGTCAGATAATTTGTTTATTATTAGTAGGGACTGATATATAAAATTATGTGACAAATGCTTAAAGAAATTACAATTCGGGAGACAATTAGGCCTCTTCTGAACATTAAAATGATAATGGTCTGGAAATGATCTGTTGACTTGAAAATTTGTACACCGACTTTTCCAAAAACCCCGTATGTAATTATCAGTTTGAAATTTTTGCACGAGACTGTCGGGGGTAGAACGTCAACTTCCTATCGATTCGTTCCCTCGCGATCCCATTAAAAAGTTAGCGAATCGAAGATAAATACTCACGGTCCTGAAAAAAGACTCCCATCCACTCCCCACCCAGCTGCAAGATGGAAACTTCGGTGTTCAAATTAAAACGGGAGCTATCAAGTTGCGGGATTATTTAAATATGTAAAAGGGCTGATTTTCATTCGCTAATCGATGATTTCTTTTGTGACTGTCTGGGGCAACGGAAAAATGATTTGGTGGGAATAATACGAATGTCTTGGGCATTTCTCGCAGGTCGGAGGTATTTTTGTCGGGTTTTACGTGTAAATTCGCTCAAGGTCACAGAGACGTCATCAGTCGACTGACTAGCAATCGGCTGACTTCGTAGGCTCGTTCTAACCAATCGCAGGGCTCTGGTGGAGCTTGCCAGCAAATGACCTTGAGCGTAACTGTTCATTTTTCTATTATATTCCAAGAAAATACTATGTTGTAGTTTTTTTGAAGGCTGTGACTGGCCAATCCATACTTCCGCCGATCCCTATCCAACCCCTGGGATGTTCCACGTTAAGAACATTTTTAACTTGCACAGCATTGTGTCTTGCTGCCAATTAATCAGCACTGATATATTCAGGGGTAAATCTTTCATACATTGTTTTATTTAGTGCTCTAAGAGTTGCAAAAATATTTTTCAAAAAATTATATATTCTCATTATGTCTATTTAATAAATCCGAAGAAAACTGCATCCTTTTTTGACATTGTTCTGCACTTAGTTTTTGAGTTTTACTAAATTTAAGTGCATTATATTTATATTCTTTCAAAACTGAGTGGATTGATCCCCGAGAAATACCCGTAATTTGTAACATACTGTTTTTTTTTGCAAAAAGTGCGGGGGATTCGGGAAGAGAATAAAAATGTCGATTTGTGGCTAAACGATAACCCTTATCGACTTTAAAGAAGAGTAACAATTTTTCTTTCTTTCTTTCTTTTCCATTTTGCAATATCGGTCTAAATAAATAAAATACAGGGAAACTAAAAATAATGTTCTAGGTAAAGTGCCCTCTAGTGACAGATATTTGAAACAGTTTTGTTTTGTAACGGTGAATTTTACAAAATCAGGGATGCGTGAAAAAATACCAGCTTATTTTTTTGAAAATTGAGCCCACTACGTTAAAGATAAAATTTTAAAAAAATAATTTTGACAAGATGTAAGTCGGAAAATATTACGATTACTACCATTATTTTACCACTTGGAATCTTTCCTCCAAGTTTCCGAACTCAATTTCCGAACACGAATATTATTCTTTGGATAGATATAGGTAGATATTCTAATGGCAATTTTAATGTGAAAATTGAAAATGGTTGCTGACGTCAAAGTTCACGTATCAAGAAGTTCTGCGTTATAGGTTTAGTTGTCAATTGTTCTCTATTTTCTCAACGGGTCAATGATCAGCGTCGAAAAAAAAATTCTTTTTGTCTCTTTGTCCGTTTTCCGTTCTCGTCTTTTGGTTTTTCCTGAATAACCTTCGAACCGTTGGAGCGACAAAATTGAAATTTGCTTGCTTCTTAACCCCCCACGAGATACATAAGCTTGCAAGAAATGGACTCGATCTGACGTCGGCATCCATCTTCTTTTCGCGATTTTCGACGGTTTTTTGCCCTGTAACGAAACTTATCGAAAATGGGAGGGCTGGGGGGTCGGGAAATATTTAAAAAAATAATAAAAATATATATAAAAAAGACCATTTTTCAAAAACCGTTTACAAGACTGAAAAAAATCTTAAACCAGAAGACACAGAGGATACGAATAAATGATTATACGGGGCTTTTGCAAAAGTCAGGTAGCGATCGGGTTTCGAAGCTCGTTAGACGTATGCCAAAGTTGTTCACTTGTTGCAGGGGCGCTGAAAACGCAATGTGGTAGACGGGGTTGGGGGTTGCAGCCCCCCTGTCGACCTGGCGCCGCCATCACGGATCACCACGGCGACCGACACAGGTAAGCGTCCGACGCTGCGTTGTCGTTTCGGGAAAATCGGCAAAGATTTTTCAAAGTAGCACGCCCGAAATCTAATCGAAATGTACGACCTCGAGAATCATTCCTACATTAAGAACTACCGGGTGTTTAATATTTAATGTACGAATTTAACGGACTGCTGTGAAAACGCAATATGGAAGATTTAATGAACAATAGTATATATAGATTTTTGAATTACAGGTATAGGGTTATAAATTTAAATTTAACAACGAAGACGTATGTAAATCCAATTGGTCATAAAGTAATAAATTGGAATATTTCATTCTGTTAATCTTCATAGCTTCCAAGAAATTTAAATATCAAAATTATCGTCAAAGTTGTGCATTTCTGAATTTAAATCATAGTTAAAATCCGAACTTTTATTTTTACACGCCCTTTTATGTTCGTCAATGCGTTTCTTAAATGTTCTTCCTGTTTGTCCGATATAAATTTTGGGACAAGATCCACATGTCAACCTGTAGACTCCGGATTTTTGAGTTTTTCGTAATTCAGTTTTATTGTTTTTTAGTAAAACGTCCCATGGTGTGTAAAACTAAATTACGAAGAACTCAAAAATCCGGAGTCTACGAGTTGAAGTGTGGATCTTGTCCCGCAATTTATATCGGACACACAGGTAGAATAGGGTCTTTCTACGTCGAAACTAACATATCTTGTAGATCTAATGTAGTGGTTTTTAATTAAATAAGAATAAACTAGAACCATATTTCCAAGAATAAACCATACCAAGAACGTACCATCAATATTGTTGCACTCAAAATTTGAGTAATCACTATAACTTTTGAATTTTCTAGGGGCTGGTTATTTACAAACCAAGTCATTATAACGTGAGAGAGAAAAAAAAAACGTTCAAACTAGAACGGAAGCCATTTGCAAATTGGTAGCTTCCGGAATGCGGGGGGGGGGGGGGAGCAGTGGCTGACGTACGGGACGGTCCGTGTTTATTATTTGAGCGTCTGCCGCCGCCAAAACAATGTTCCGCGCTGAGGCGGGGGCGGCGGAACGCCGTCACCCGGAATCGATATTCGGGCAACGCATGCCTTATAACCGGAGTCTTGACACGTTTAGTCCGGGCGTTCGGAATGAACCTCTCGCGCGGGGTCCGGGAAAGACCGCCTCGGGGACATTCGCGCCCGGACTAAAAGGCGACGATTGTTCCGGAATTCGTGAAAATTGTTTAATTTTTGGGAACGCGCTGAGCGTTACGAAAAAATTGAAGAACAATATTTCGGTGGCTTGTTCTATGCTCGCCTTGAAGGAAAAATTTAAAAAAAATTCGGTTCTACTTTTAACGCATTGCGGTATCGATTTGCGATAAATGAATTAATCGGTCGGGTAACTAATTAGATCAACAATTGGCCAAAGAGGAAATAAAACCTAATTTGATTTCGACGGATTTATTGGCAATTACGTCGGTTTAATTTTGGCTCAGTGACCAGTGTAATTCATCCCGTTTTGCTCCCGAGAACTTTTTTTAATTGAAAATATTTATTTGCTATTTCAAATTTAAAAAGTCAAAGAATTCTATTTTTTGGTGAATGGAAAATAAAACAATTATATGTAAACTTAAAGAAATAAGGCGTTAAATTTCATTTTCGGGGTTTTTTAAGTAAGGAATCTGATTAAAAGAAATAAATCGTCATAAAGTAACATGACGAAGCACGTCCGTATTTGAAAGCCCCGGAGAACTATCTTTAATTGAAAATATTTATTTGCAACTTCAAATTTCAAAAGTCAAAGAATTCAACTTTTTGGCGAACGGAAAATGAAACAATTATATGAAAACTTAAAGAAATAAGGCGTTAAATTTTCTTTTTGGGGTTTTTTAGGTTAGGAATCTGATTAACACGACGAAGCAGGTCCGTATTTAAAAAATCTTGTATTTCAAATTCAATACCGTAGCCTTGCCAAAATAAGGTAAACAAAGAAGTTGATAATAATAATAAGAATAATATTAATAATAATAATAAGACTTAATTAATGAAAAGTGAATATAATTCACAATAAAAAAAAATAGTTGTTATTTGCTGACTTAGACCTACTCTACTGAATCAGTAAGTAAATTTGAGGGATTAACATAATGACTCTAATGTCACCATACACCATACACGACATAGTTGCGAATGGTGTCCGACAAGGAAAAAACGTGGGGTTCGTGCATGCAACAGTGAGACGGTTTATATATGATGCGTATCAGAAGAATATTGTTTGAACTATTAAAACTTTACATGAAGAGTTGCGCAGTATTTTAAACATTCACTGTTGACAAGAGACTTTGCTCACATTCGTACGACGAATAAGGACAGTTTTATGCCTGTATAAATGGCGCAAAACCAAATAAGACCTTTTCTATGTTTCTTGGTCAATGTTAGGTTTAGCAGAAAAGAACATTACACTGCATTTTTTAGCATTAAGTTGAAGACTATGTCTAGGAGAATATAGAAATATGTTATGCAAATCCAAATTGATATAAATTGAAAATAATTTAGGATCGAAGGAGTAAAATAGCCCAGGGTCATCAGCAAATGAATGGAAATTGAAATATTCGATGGATGTATAAATATCAGAAATATAAATTAAGAATAATTAAGATCCAAGGGCCTTGCGATACACCTGATAGAACAGGGAGAAATTCAGAACTTACATTGTCAAGAGTAACTCTCTGATATCTGTTAGCCAAATAGTTTTTTTTAAAAATGGAGTCGAAACATCATCGAAGCCGTAGTAACTCAATTTGGCGTACAAGCGTCAAGCCTATCAACGGCTTTAGAGTAATCTAAAGATATAAGTACAACAAAGAACTAATAATGTGATCATCTATGTGACTAATAGCACTAAAACTTTTACGAAATCCATATTGACTGTTAGTGACAATATGATTAGAAATAACATAATCATAAATTTGTACTTGTGATTTTAAAGTAAGAATGGATTTTTAACTGCATCTCACTCGCACGAAGTATCGAAGTACGGTTCGGAAACGTCAAAAATTTACTAATGTTAAATACCGGACTATGTCCTAAAAACGGTATACCGTTTGGAGAACTCTAAATGGCTTTATAATGAATAAATGTGACGAGCTTAATCAAATTGCAGATGTACTGACGAGGGGCCCAGGGCCGCCGGGGGCGGCAACGGCGCGCCTAGTCGCGGCATGCCGCCGGTCGGCGGCGGCGGCGGTTGTCTGGCTGACGGCGTGCGCGGCGGCGGCGGCGGCGGCAGTGACTGCACGACCGCCCCCGTCAAAGGCGGTCCCGGCTGCGTGGTCAGCGAACGGTACCCGCTCGGCAAGAAGGAACAGTTCCAGTTTAAAGATTATCATCGTCAGGACAGGTATACTTGAACCAGAAATATAGTGCTTTTACAACCGACCCCGTGAATAACTTTAGCTACTGTTTATTACTCCAAAACCGCAGCCCGTTATAGAACATCCTGCCGAGCAGACCCTTACCTAGGAGTTTATATACCTAAACTAATAAGTATGTTTTCAATCTTTTTCGCCGAGCAATTCTTGAAACATGCACCTAAAAAAATTAATACAAAGTAACTGTTTATTACGTTCTATTTCATTACATTTCTTCTAATATACAAAATATTAAGTATAATAATAACAAGGTATCAGTCACTTAAAAAATCGTCACTATCGCTACTCTCATCATCTATTCTGCTGTAGAGTAACATCTGCTTCATTCCACGGTCTTCACATTTTAAAGTGTTAAAAAATGTTTATTTGTAAGATTCTAATAAATATTTATCTGTCGTTTTATCTACCACGAATATAATATATACTCTTACAAAACACTGTTGTTGTTTACAAATCGAAGAGCTATGTAGAAGACACAAAAATATAAGAAAGAGAATGTTGTTAATCTACAGGCACCAACACAAAAATAATTATTCTTCTTCTTAGCCTTACCCTTCGAACTATTCCGTGAAAACAGCCTCGCAGTGCTAAAACTCGATAATCAAGTACATAAGGATCACCTTCAAATACCTTCGTAATATATACGAACACATTGCAATTTAGATTAAACCGAGGGGCCCGGACGCTCAAACGACCGTTCAGTCCGCCGTCCGTCCGATACAGTCGTCGCGCTACAATCTACGTTCCATTGAAGATGGCTGCCGCAGTAGCAGCTAAAAGCTTTGGTAGCAAAACCGATGGACCACGGCCTAACAGCCCGGAAAATCTCGCAGATTAGATTAAATCGTTAAGAACGATATCAGTGCTTAATCAAATTTAAAATGGTCCAAATAAAAATATTCAAGTTTCTACAAATATTCGTTACGGTCCATCTCAGGCGAGAACTACTTAATGCGATAAATCCACTATACTTTTGGTCGTTTTATACCCTAACCAAAGTTCGCCTACTGCCAACCTACTGCGAACTGGCTTTGCCGTGGGCCCGAACCGGTCACCACGTCTCACCTTTGCGTTTCCAGATATCACCTCGCGCAGTCGTCAACGAGGTTCCCGTCGAACGAATGGAACGGTCTCGAGAGGCCCCAACGTCACTCGCGTACTCCCTCGCCTTCTTCCGAACGTTACCATGCGTTGGACAAGGGCAGGGAAAAATATCAAGGCGATGCGATGGAAAGTACCGGTGGCGATGTCCGGTTGGGGCAGGCGTCGACGCAGAGCGCATGCTCCATCGAAAGGTAACAACGCGGAATATTTAATTAATAATAATAATAATAATAACCTTTATTGCTAACGGCATGAAAAGTTACTGTAGATATCTTCTTCTTGTATCAGCTTCCCCTTTGGAGGTTGCTGATCATCATGGCTCCCTTCACTTTTGATACTGCTGATCTAAATAATTCAATTGACGATAGACCACATCATTTGGAAGATTGCGCAACCAAGAGATTCTTCGGCGCCCTACACTTCGTCTACGTACGATTGTGCCCTCCATAATGAGTTTCAGCAGCTCATATCTTGTACTTTGAGTTCGAGTTCTTTGCCCATTCTTCTTAAGACTTCCTCGTTTGTAGTTCTACTCATCCACGAGACTCTCAGTATGGGTCTATAAATCCATATTTCAAAAGCTTCCAACCTCCTTGTGGTTTCTCTATTCAGCGTCCAGCCTTCCAAGCCTTAAAGCAATGCTTTAAGATCTCCAGCTTATTCTCGATGTCCAAGATTATTGAATTTTGTTCTTTTACTTCCTTTATCTTTTGGTGCATGTTAAAGCTATTGTATTTGCGTTCCAGGTCCTCTATTTCTCTATTGTTTTCGTTAGCGTAGTAACACTATGTTACTTTTAAGGACGTAAAATATGAAAAGGGTTGAAAATGCCATGTGTTGTGGTTGATTGTGCAAGAACTTCAAACCGCGCTGCAATAAGAAATAACAAGTACTTACCAAATTCATAATTTTCAGAAACTCGTTCACAAAAATCGTTGGGAAATTTTGAAACTAGATAAAGTTGTCATGCCTATGACGTAACTGCTCTGGCGGAACTCTGGCCGAGCGTTCAATTTATCCCACTTCTGATACTTACTCGAGAGTAGGCTGACGTTTCGTTGTAGATATACCCCGACCGAAAGGCACCGACGGGGATCAAACGCTGAAATTTACAAGGTTAGAGAGGGATCGTCTAGCACGGATAGGAAAGAAATGGAGAGGCTGCAAAGAGAATACCGTCAAGATAGATTCGCCCACGAACAATACGTCGTCGAAAGGTGAAAAAATCGTGCATTTATCTCCAATCCAAAACCAATAAACTTTTCAAATATAGGTTCAACCGGTCTGCGTCGCCTGCTGACAGGTTGGGCGCGAACGCGGGCGCCGCCGCCACGACGGCGGTTCTCGCCTGCCCGCCCCCAGAGCCTTTCGCCGGCACGAGTCCCGCGGAACCGCCTTCCCCCGCCCCCACCTCCGACCGGTTCGTCCCCCCTCCCCCGGCACCTACCCTCACCCCGGAGGAACCGCCCGACTGCTACGCGCACGGCGCTTTCCCCTCCCCCACTGCGCAGCCAGCGCCTGCGCAGCAGGAACGTTTCGTTCCGCCTCCCCCTCTGCCACCATCTCCGACGGACTTTGCCGCGCAGCAGAAGGAGTTGCAAGCCAAACAGAGGTATTATAATACACTCGCGGCATATTGACTATCTTCCATCGCACCCGGTTTTTTCGCTGTTCAGATATTTGTATTCGCCCAACCAATCGAGCGAGAGATACATCCTGCAGTACAAGCAGCAGAAGTCGCACCTGCAGGACAAGTACCCGCAAGCCGGTTTTGCCGCGGATAGGTACCACCAGGTGGCGTCCTCGTCTTCGAATTCGTCGACGGGCAGCGGTTACGGCCAGCAGATGTCGGTGAGGGGCGATCACCGATTCGGGGTTGATCGATATTTGCCGCCCAACGCTCACATGCCCGTCGAAAGGTGAGAAATTAGTAGCGACGCGTTCTGACCTAGTTCCAGATTGTGAGAGCCAGCAATCTGCCTGTCATTATTATTATTATATAATGATTGTATTTAGGTAAGTTTCTTATACATATCTATAATTTTCATCTATTTACGAGAAACTGTGGACTATAGATAAAAACCCGATCCCAATGGCCTCCCACCATATCTTATTAAGCATTGCAGCTTCATACTTTTTATTATAGGCCCATCAGTATCCTAAACGGTATTCCTAAAGGGTTCGAAAGTTTAGTCGGCCACTATCTATCTGCTGACCTGAAAGGTTGCTTTATCCACCAACAATTTGGATTTCTTCCCCATCGCTCCACTGAGCTAAATTTGCTTACATTTACAGATATTCTGCTGAAATCATTGGACGAGGGGTCTCACGTTCATGCCATTTACACAGACTTTTCAATGGCATTTGATAGAGTAAACCATCAAATCTTAATAAAAAAATTGGGAAACATTGGAATCCAGCGAAAATTTACTGAAAGAGTGTCGATTGTGCGCATCCAGAGCTTGCAATCCATTGAAATTGAAGTGCCTTCTGGTGTTCCGCAAGGATCACACCTGGGACCCCTACTCTTCAATGTGTATGTGAATGATATTCCTATGGAGCGATGAAAAAAAAATGAGAAGGTCCATTTTACATGTGCGTGCGCGAGATTCACCTTGCTATAATCAACAACCAACAGATCGTCAATAGGCTTGAATGCAGCATAAATACAGCAAAATATTCATAGTTATTGTTAACTGTTCTGAGAAAACGAGTTAAATGTGTGCAAATCGCATTTTCGAAAGAAAATGGCGCAAAGTGGATGCAGGTTACTTTCTTCACGAAAATTTTTACCGTGGTAGGGCCGCTACATTATCTAACAATTATAGGGTCTAAAAACGCAAATACAGAGGAAATTATTAAAAACGCATATGACAGAGGAAATTATTGAAAACGCAAAAGACAGAGGAAATTATTAAAATCGCAAAGGACAGAGGAAATTATTAAAAACGCAAAGGAGAGACGAAATTACTAAAAAGACAAAGGACAGAGGAAATCATTAAAAAGGCAAAAGACAGATGAAATTATTGAAAACGCAAAAGACAGATGAAATTATTAAAAACGCAAAGGACAGAGGGAATTATTAAAAACGCAAAGGACAGAGGGAATTATTAAAAACGCAAAATACAAAAGAAATTATTAAAAACGCAAAAGACAGAGTAAATTATTAAAAACGCAAAAGACAGAGGAAATTATGAAAAACGAAAAAGACAGGGAAAATTATAAAAAACGCAAGGGACAGAGAAAATTATTAAAAACTCAAAAGACAGAGGAAATTATTAAAAGCGCAAAAGACAGGGGAAATTATTAAAAACGCAAAGGACAGAGGGAATTATTAAAAACGCAAAAGACAGAGGAAATTATGAAAAACGAAGAAGACAGGGAAAATTATAAAAAACGCAAGGGACAGAGAAAATTATTAAAAACTCAAAAGACAGAGGAAATTATTAAAAGCGCAAAAGACAGGGGAAATTATTAAAAACGCAAAGGACAGAGGGAATTATTAAAAACGCAAAATACAGAAGAAATTATTAAAAACTCAAAAGACAGAGGAAATTATTAAAAACGCAAAAGACAGAGGAAATTATGAAAAACGAAAAAGACAGGGAAAATTATAAAAAACGCAAGGGACAGAGAAAATTATTAAAAACTCAAAAGACAGAGGAAATTATTAAAAGCGCAAAAGACAGGGGAAATTATTAAAAACGCAAAGGACAGAGGGAATTATTAAAAACGCAAAATACAGAAGAAATTATTAAAAACGCAAAAGACAGAGGAAATTATTAAAAACGCAAAGGACAGTGGAATTATTAAAAACGCAAAAGACAGAGGAAATTAATTGTTAAAATCGCAAAGGACAAAGGAAGTTGAGCTAAATAATTCTGCAAAAAGTTTAAATACCGTTAAGTGGTTCGCGAAGAAAATATGGTCCAATTACTTTTAAGTGTTTTTTTTTCTAGCCCGGTCCAATATGTAAATCATATCAATTTTTTGTTTTTTTGCAATTTACTGACACCGTAATAAATTTTAGGAATTTATTTACTCAGTTGTCAAGTTTGACAATGTCATGTTGTCATTGTGATGTTTTAGCAAAAGTCTAAGATGAAAAGAAGGATTGGTAAAATTAAAAGAAATAACAAAGTATTATTTCTGTAAGATCATTCAGGAAAATAAAGAATAATATATTTGGTGTGCGATTTGACAAAAACAAGATTTTTTCAGCTCAAAATGATCCAAATATATTCAATTTTGATCACTGTTCATTACACACATCTTTTACGTCATCTTCGAATAACGCTAACAAAAACTGGTATTTTGTAGAAATACAAAAATACAAAAATATTGGAAAATATTGGAAAAACTATATGTATTATTATTAATAAAAGAGTTTTAAAGAAAAAAAAAAGAATTTTAAAAGGAATTCAGAAAAAAATTAAAAATAGGGTTTTGAGATAATAAACTTTACTTTATCGTTCAGTCACCCAGTACAATTTTGTTTGTGGACCCAATCATCTCTGTTGTTGGGGTCAAGAGCAATGCCGTTTTCGAAATAACACGCCTAACAGATATACTAAAAATATGAGCTTTTTCCAGATTCATTTGAATAATTCGTGTTAAACACTTTTTTACGTATCTACAAAAATGAAACAAAATCCGTACGAAAAGGCTGCGACTTTTCGATACAACAAAAAATTTAATGTAAAAACTACTTTGTTTTCCATTAAAATGTACTCAAATCCTGATCCTCATCCTTGGCCTAAAATATCGAAGACAAAAAAATTCAGATACTGCAAAATTTTAAGCTCCTCTATTTATTTTTCATTCGTCTTTTCTAAATCATAAAAGCATTCTTAGTTAAAAAAAATAATAAAAAAAAGTGTACGCTAATATGAAGAGTATTGAGCACTGCAATTTGTATTATATGCATTTATTATTATGCCTCTAGAAAATAATTAAATATAAACAGCAATGAGTGAGTAACGCACAGAGAAAATTCCTATTCCTATTATATACCCTTGTTGACGAAGACTGTCCAAAAATCAAACGAAACTCAAAAGAAATAATGCAAACTTTCCGAAATCCTCAAAAAATTGCCAAAAATCAATTGCCTTCTTTCATCCTCAGATACGTGCCGCAGCCTCAACCCCAAGAACTATATTACGGAACTTATCAGCCCTACGAGCGTTTCGGCAAACAATTCAACGCGTCTGATCCCTACATGAGACGAGACCTCACGTACCATTACCGTCTGCCTATCTCATTCACCCAAAACCAATTTCAAAAAATAAGGTAAGGTTTGATCCTCTCATTTCGATCGATCCGGCTCAACGAAGTCTCCGGTTAGGTACTCGCATCTGGGTACGCCGTCACGGGCCAAGTGTTGCCAGTACGACCAGTACCAGTTGGCCAAGTCCAGTCCCGGGTCATCTTCGAGCAACAGTTCGGTCGCCAGCAACAACACTTCAAGTTTACAGGACGTGCAGTGCCAAAATAGTTACCAGGGAAAGGATTTCCACTACCAACAGGTAGATAATTACTTTTCGTTGATTGAATTTTTTTTAATGCAATATCGCTAACCGGAATTAACTTCTATGACATCATGTTTTATAAATATGTAGGTGATTCCATTTTTTTTCTCCAGATTTTAAAACTAGTTTTTTTATGCGTATTTTTAAATTTCTGATATTCTGTTCTACGGCACAGTTACATAAAATAGATTTGAGTTCTACAATCATTTAAATTCTTTACACTATTCAATCGACTCCATGTTCGTAAACGTAATTTCAACATGATTCGCTGGTCGTTCTATAAATGTAGATGGTCCTCGAGTTATATAAATTAAAATTCAAAAATACATTAAAAGACATTTTAAAACATTAACCAAAAAAAGTGTCATTTTTCTTTAGTTTGATGATAGATATAAGGATTTATGAGGTAATTTGTTTAAATCGTTTATGGCGACAAATTATTTTATGATTTTTTGGTTAATTATGCACTAAAACGAAGAGAAAAGTTTGCTTTTGTGATAGTTACAATGATAATACCCATTATTGATTTTTTTTAATGAATTTTAATTAATTTTAATACATACAAGAACACTACGCGAACAGAATTTAGTTTTTACATTCACACAGTGCCGCCAGATGGCATTTGAGTGATAAAAAATGGTCAGGTGTTTTGTACAAGTCTAGAAAAAGAAATGTTTTAATTAAGAAGCGACACCAGAACGACCAAAACACCATTGTATTACTACAGAAGAATTTATTGACTTGATAAGAGATTTAAATTTGCCAAAAAATGAAGGAGAGCTTGAAGACTGTTGCTGAAAACAATGGAATTCAATGTCACGGCTCACTGGACTGGACGTGAAATATTCTCAACGTTTTTCAGAAAAGATAGGCTTTGCCTTTTGCAATCACATAAATGGTATGTTCGAAGAAATTGGCTTACCTTGTATTCCTAACGAATGGCGTTATTTAAACTTAAAAGCTCTTTTATTATACAACGGAATTAAGTTCCCATCTCTTCCAATCGATTAAAATTAAAATTATAAAAATTTTAAAATCTAAATCTAAAGATATACAAAGTATCCATGTTATCTGTGCTAATGGAAAAGCAGAACGGATGCGATGCATTTTATTGAATGTAAGAATAGAACTATGTGTCAGAAAACAAAACGTAAAATTTGAACCGATTGTTGAAAAATTGTGTGATGGTTGATGAAGCAATTTGTCAAGAAATTGGATGAAACTTCAGAAGCTTTCGAGTTTAGTCTCTCACAATCTTCGACATACACTCTCCAGTAAAACTTTAAAGATGTTATTAATTATTGTTATAGGGTAAAGCCATTAACAAAAAATGTTCTTACTTGACTGACAAGGCAGGGGTGGGCAAGGTATATTTATTTCTTTCTGATATATTTCTTGAGTGTGTACCATTTGTGGCAGTGTTGCATAATCGTTTTTAATGTACATTTCGAAAAAAATATTTTACGAGAATGTAACAATATCGCGTTAATATCAACAGGTTGTGAAAAATGTGTATGGAACTACCTAAATACAAAAGCAAATTTTCTTATCTCTTCTTTTTTCATCTTATTATGACTTAAAATATCGAAATATAAGTTGAGTTTTGTGTTCGCCCAAGTTATAGGTTCTCTCTGAATGATAATTTATTAATTATTAGTTCTAAATAATACAACACATAAAAAATAGCACATACAAATCACAAGTTAACATTAATACACAAACCTAACCTAAAAAAGTCACTCTTTCGACGACGTTCGATAAAACACGATTGCCACGTGACCGGCGACCTGTTTTAGGAAAAGGGCACGCAGTGCGACAGTCCGGCGACGGCGCAGCCCCAACACGCGTCCCTTCTCGTCCTGTCGAAAGGGAGCTGCGCCCCCCAATCGGCGTGCCGCCACAGCGTATGCGAGGCGACAGCCGTCGAGTACGTGGGGGCTAGCGGGGGGCGTCACGTCTGCACTACGCCACCTCCGCGACTCTCCGAAAGGTGCGAAGGTTGCGTGCAAGCCGCGGCTGCGCAGGCGGCCGCCCAAGCTGCGCAGCGAAGCTTGAGGACTGCCGCGCAGCAGCAGCAACAGCCGACCGCGAATTGGTGAGTATCTTTCCAAGTTAATAGGGCAAACGAAGGAATGTTAAAGCAGTGGAAAATATTTAGCGTAGATTGTGTGAAGGCGTACCACGGCTACATTGCTACATTGGTCCGAAATGGAAATATGACTTTAAGGCATTATCTATTAGTTTTCCAAATGATAATAGTGTTACTTTTCAAATACACTTTCACAGACTACTGTAAATTGCGCAACTTCTGCGTTCTTCCTCCGTCTGTTGTCGTTGAATTGAACTTGCTGACGTTTCGCCAATCATTCAGTTGGCTTCTTCAGATCTAAACTGAAACTGACACGTATTCTAATCTGTACCTTCTTATACCGGGTGATGCATACATACCTACATATATTAGGTGCACTAATATGATTTGAAGTCAAGTTGGACAATCACTTTATCAAGTAAAGGTTGGTTTACAATAAAGACATGCACAATCGGTGTCACACATTCAAACAACCCTCCACTAACAGTTAAACAATATCCTAAGCGATCCAAAAGTTCATTTCTAACATTGATTAGTGGATATTGCCACATTCTAAGGAAAACCTTTTTGTAACTGTAACTTTTCAAGCGATCCCACAGAAAGAGGTCGTTCGGCGAGAGGTCAGGTGATCTGCGTGGTCAAAGGATCGTGGGCCAATAATAATCCATAAAGTATTTGAAAAAAAAACTCTAACCATATGAGAATATGGGCGGGACAACCATCCATCTCCCGATCTTCAAGAGCAATTTCTTCTAGTGCGGGCACAATTTGATTTTGTAATAAGTCCAAATAGGTTTCTTCCGTGACGTTATATTCCATAAAAAATGACCTCAAAAAATCATAACATTTATTTTTTGAGGGTATTGGCTTCAAGCATGAACATGTGCATTTATCAGTGAAACAAATATATTTTGTTAAGTCCCTTTCTTTGATTGCTTTTTCCATCATTTCAAAAAAAAATGCTATTTTTCTTTAGTATTTATAGGGAAAATATTTCAGTTTTTTTGATGTGCACAACACTCGTACTAATCGATTTGTTTTCCTCCACATAATAATACGTTTAATTGTTCAAATCGTAGCAGGAAAATAAACTGACTAGTTCCTGACCAACCAAAACTAACCGTACCATTTCCTTTATTTGCTGATTTGATAATAAGGTTGATAAATTTCGGGTAGGTCGGGCAATATCACCACGTGCTCGCGCTAAGAGGATTCCTTTTTCAGCTCTTGAAACAGTCGCTATTTATATTGATCGAATTCTTTTACGGAAAATTAAAAGTGACCTGCGAAAATTTTAATTAAAATCTCGTTTTCTGTAGGCTTTTGGATTTCGTTTCAAAAATATTTAATTATTCCCTCGCAAAGTGGCTGAATGCGGCCGTTGTAAGCAAGCAAAAGAAGAAGAATTCGCACTAGTTTATAACGAAGAGAAGATAAAAAAGAAAATTCCTTTCCTTTTCTAATGACTTCTTAAAATGTATTCTTATTTTCAGCCTTAATATTTGTAGATGGCTGGACGAAGTTAAGGTATAATTCAAAACAAAATAGTCGAAAAAAAGGGGGTAGAAGGTAGCAGGTAGGAAAATCCTATTTGCAAGACTTCTGGATTCATTTTGCGTCAGTTGTAAAAAATCGAAACCCCCTAAATCTAATGTTCTAAAAATCTCTGACGTCGTAATTCTAAAAGAAGATAAAGGAAATGCTACGGTGGTCATAAACACAAATGAATATCACGAAAAGATTCAACGGATCCTATCGTCAACTTAAAAAAGATCCTATGTCATCTACGGAACTCATCATCATTGGTTCTCCAACATTTTCTCTAGTAAAATATTTAGGTTTTATATTAAAACTCTTTACCAAGAAAACTGACAGTTTCGTACTTAACTCCTTTCATTTCATTGAACAATTGAAAACCACTACATTACATTCACAGGATATTCAGGTTAGTCTCCACTAAAGTCCCTATTCCTGTCCAGATGTATTAAAATCCGAGAATTTGGAGCCAAACCTTCTCATCTGAATTGAAAAAAGTCAGTAACAGCTATGGATTATCCATGATCATCAATCATCTAATGGTCAAGAGTCCCTAGTAGATTTTCTTAGATATTTAAGCTCTATATACTCTATAATAACTTTCACATTAGAGATATTAAGCGTTCCATCACAAAATACACTTCACCACAACCTTCCAAAGACAATGAGTCCAAAAGCAATCCCACATTTTCTACTGTTATCGTTTCTTCCATTCAAACATCATAGATTTACCACTTGTCCAAAAATCTCTCAACATCTTCGATCCGTCAAAGACAAAATTGCGTTTGAGATACCAGGAGTTTACCACGCATAAGCGGCAAAGAATACATTGGAGAGACCCGAAGAAAAATATCATCCAAGCGAAAAAGAACATGAAAGAGCACGAAGTCGGGCATCAAATTTTATTAGGTAGCAAAATTATGGGTTTAAAAAAAATACTTCATCTGAGATGAAGGCCTTGAAACTTCGTTAAATGATGGTATATCACTTAACGTCTTCTATCCTCTGGATCACAGCCATGGACCAAATACTCTACAGCAGTGATTTAGCAGAAATAAAACCAAGTAGCTACGGAGAAGTAAGTGATTATGAGCAAAATTATCCAAAAAGACCATAATTATGGTTAATGTTATCAAAAGGCGTATATACGATATTTAGGATGGATACAACCCTGGGGTACTCCGGATCAATTTTGTTTATTTGTAACATCGATATTTGAAAATGCTACAATTAGTCTTGGCAAGATATTAACATAAAAACTTTAATTAATAATCTATATATAAAATTATTTTTTGCGTACATTTTTACAAAACGCACGTTCACTAACATAACCGTCAGAATTGACAAACGTCAAAATCCAAATCGCTCGAATCCGTGGGAAACGAAATTGACGTGGTAGGGAGTAAAGAAGAAACGGTTTACAGCTTTTGCATAAGCATTTATATGTTCAGGCATGCGTGCAGCATATTTAACATTAAAATTTTTCCTTACTGTCTTAAAATAATTAAACGCGGTTTTCCGTTAGGATGGTAGCGCTAGAACTGACAAACTGCGCGCCAGTTGGAATGTAGCTTTCCCTGCGTTAATTTCCCGTTCATCACTATCACCTGAATCGAAGCGGCATTGAAAATCTCGGCGATAGTCAAATTCTATCTGCTTATCTTATCTAAAGCGAAATCGATCCACCAATGGTCGCGAGCGAATTAAAAAAAAATCGCACTCCAACTGAAATTACTCATTGCAACCGCATACACGGTATCTCGTTCTCACACCCAGATACTTTCGTTTCTTCTAATATTCGCGGCACATTTTCGTTGTAGACGGAAACAAGAATAGTACACACACACACAGACGTAAACACACGCAGATACTTTTCGGTAGTCGCCCGCAGTGAACATGGACTTGCGACAGGTGTAATATACGCGACATTTCTTTCGACAGGCGGTCGGTGTCCTTCGTCGCGAAGAACGAGATGGATTCGGAACCAGAAGATATAAAACTACGCCGACTGTAAGTGAAATCCGCACGGCAGCGAAACGTTCATAAATTCTTCTATCGCGATATGTAGGTTATGTTTGTTATTGGCGCGGCAGCGTGTTCTGTGGTCACCTGGTACAGGGACGGCTTTAGGTAGTTTTGGGGGTACGTTGGGCTGTTATCTAATTTGTAAGCGGGGTCTTTGACGCGTTTGAATAAGAAAGTGGGAAAGGTATGGTCTGTCTCGATCTTCATCGCGCTGGCTTTTGTCGTCAATTATGGAAGCGGCAATAAAACTCGGGTCCGGTAGATGTTAAATGAGAGAACATTAAGGATGGACTCTCAATGTTAATAATATTTTTTTTGTTAATTTAGGTGGGTATTATAACCTTATTAAATGACACTAAGAAAAAACAATGATATTGGATACATACAATAGAATCATAGCGAAGAACATCTATACATAATTACATGCTTAAATCTAATTCTGCTTCACTATCAGAGTCGACATTGAGATTAATTATAATTATTGCATAGAATCGTAAGAATCCTTAATTTTTGTAATGTGCATATTATACAATAATAATACAATTGCTGCCTGTCGATATATAAGGTAAAATACAAAAACAAAATGTAAAAAGTAAAAAAGTGTAAAAAAATAATAGTATTGTGCCTTATGATATGCGGGAATGAAATAAAGCATAATACATTAGGGCATTTTGGTCTAGGCTCTCCCTAATTTTTCTAAGGTCGAATAAGCTGGAAGATAGTTGTCGCTTAAGAGATAAAATGTGATCTTTCGAGTCAAGTCTACTATCAAGTGCAATGCCAAGTAATTTTTTGAGTTTTATCCGTATTCAATTTCAAATAATTATTTTTAAACCAATTGTTCGTATTTGCTCTTCACACTTTCACAAGTTGCGTTTTTTTTGTAACTGAATTCAAACTAAATATCATATTCTAACAAATATTTCGGGATAAACATGCAATGATATGGAACTGTTTTTTAATTTAGGGCTTCAAAAAGCATGTAGCAATAAACTTTTATAATATGCTACTTCCATATTTTCATTTATAGGCCCTACATAACAGTTTTGCATTGCCACTTTTTTCAAAAAATATAATAAAACTACAATAGTATTTTGTATGATTTTTATTTGTATTTATATTTGTACGTAGTGTGTATACTAATTTTAAAATTTTATTTATAATGATTGAAAAGTATCAGATCTTTGCGACCCCCTTTCAGTAGTCTCGCGACCCCCTGGGGGTCGCGACCCACAGTTTAAGAAGCCCTGACCTGGTCTATACGGTGAGTTTGAAAATCACTACACAATTCTCCACTATTAATAATGTATCTCATCGACAACATTGGCGTGTTTGTAAGAGGTGATTAAAATTCCACGCATTTTTCACAGCCTGTTTTGCATCAAACGAAAATTGATTTCGACGATACATTGTTATATTCTCGTAAAATAACTTGAAACGCACAG